GTGCACCAGGTGAAACTTCAACCTGGACGGGGAAGGGTTCTTGACGCTGAAAGAGAAAGAATTCTCTAGCAGGTTGGAAGAGTGTAGGTAAAGAAGGAGTTCATTAGAGCCAGAGTAGTAATGAAGGGCAGCTGCCTTGCACACAGCTGAGGGCAGGAAAGCGCAGAGGGGGCAGGAGTTTGCTGATTGTCGGCATAGGGAAGGTCTCCCTCGCCAGCTCCTGAAGCCAGGTCACCTGGCATCTTGTGTCTCTTGGGTTTGCACAGCATAGGAACCAGTCCCTACCACCCCAGAATTTGGGGAGCCATGGAGCACAGGATGGAGAGAGACCATATTCTGAAAACATCCCGAAGAAGAGAGATTTTCAGGCAGGCTCCTGCAGCTGCAGCTCCATCCGGGTCACCCAGGCAAAGAGAACTTGCGGGCCCAAATCTGAGCTCTCAGCAGCCCCTCCCTACTCATCAGGAGTAAAGTGGGGACTTGGAAATAGAATGAAATAGCAAAGAAAGATGTGTACCACTGGAAAGGCACTGAGAGACGAAAGGCAGTTAAGCTGAGCAGTGAGAAAGCTTTATTTAAAGTTAAGCACTTAAAGAAGGAATGTGGGCATCCTCAGAGAGGAGGTGCTGAAAGGCTGGGGGTTCCTTCTTTTAAGCATTTTTCAGGAATGTGACAAAGGGCCAGGGGGGTGTAGATTGTCAAGTGGTCTCAAGATGCGTATCTCTGGTGAGAGACAGCATGTGTCCTGTCCTCTAACATCAGTCCTTCTGCAAAATAAACTTATCACAAGAAATTTATTGATCCAGTTCCTCCCCAGGATAGTGGCTTCTCTCTGGGAATATATCAGTTAAGACTGTTTGCCTTATTTTAAGGTAGGTTATTGTCTGTTTACTAAAGAATATGTTAGAAATCTTACCTCCTAACTTCCTGGCTTTTAAAATAGAACCTGAGCCTTAAGATGGAATCCCTCCTGTTTTTACTATACTGTTGACACCTCAGCTTGTGTGGAAACTTAATCATGATGCTTGTCTCAGGTCCCTGCCCTATGTCAATAGGGCAAAACTGAGCCAAGGGTGCCCAGGACCTCTCTATTATCTTTGCAACTTCTCGTGCACCTAGAATTTTTAAAAGTTTAAAAAATGAACTTTTACCATTCTAACAATAGAAAAACCACCACCCAGTCTCTGAACTCGGTGTGCGCTTCACACTTGCCGGCCAGCTCAGTCCGGACCCGCCACAGTCCAAGGGCTGGGTAGCTGCTGCCCGTGGCTGCCCCCGGCTCCTCCCCGGGCACTGCACCGCGGTGGGTTCCTGGGGGCCTGCTCTGCCTCCTGCTGACCAGCGGCTGGGGGATAAGTCACTGCCCTCCTCAGTGAAGGGGGCTGACAGTGTCACTCACTACACAAGGTTGTGAGGGTTAAAGGAGATGCTGCGGGTAGGGCCCCAGTGTGGCTGGGCCTACAGGTCCCCTGTAGCCCACCTGGACTATTGCTACGTTTGAAACCCTCCTGGCAGCTTCCTCCAGCTCCCCTGATGTCATCAAACCCAGCACCTCACTGTGGCCTTCCCCAGGCAATACAGTCCCAGCATCTCTCCTTGCGTGAACTGCTGGGCAGGAGGCAGAGTGACCTTCCCCGCCCATCCTCGGGCGCCAAACTCCGTTTGTCATGGGCAGGCTGGCAAGCTGTCCCTTCTGCAAAGGCGGTGAGCTGGCCACAGGCTTGGAGGCCAGTCCTTCAGCAAGGACCAGGGCAAAGCCACTGTGAGAAGGAGGACTTCCTGTGTGGGCCCTGGGCCGCCTCAGAGGGGTGGCAGCTTTTCACCATAAAAGGCAATCCCTTGACAAGCAGGAGACCCAGGTGAGCCGGCAGCTGCTCCCCTGGGGCCTCAGGGAAACCACAAAGGCGCTTCCAACTGAGCATGTGCACAAAGGATCTTAGCAACCAGGAGAGTTTGAGACCTTGTATGGTGTTAGAAGAACAAAAGGACCTGTGGACCAGAAAAGCAGAAATGCAGAGCTTTATCGTGGTGACAAATGGTGGCTTGACCTCCCAGTGTCACCTACTGTGGGGGAGGGTGTAACTAACACTGCTGTGGGTGCCCCCGGGGTTACCAAGGGGTGGTGAGAGGCAGTCACAGGAACCAAGTGCAGGTTGTAGATGGGGCTCACCCCTCACCCTGCAGCTCTCAGGGCCTCAGGCCTTGTCCTGGAGGTGTTTCTAGCCAGGTTGTTCCCCACACTGTCCTTCAACCCTGTTCTGTCTTCCAAAGGCTTCACCCACCCTGCCTCCATTTCTTCATCTCACCATCCGAAGGGAGATGGAGAGCGGGCAGGAAGGTCTCTGGGAGGTGGATTTGAGGTCATGCCTGAAAGGGGAGGGGTTGGAGAAAGAATTCCACGTGTCCTGGGCAGAGTGGAAGGGCGCATGCGAAGCCTCCTAGCTGGGGAATCGGTGAGCTCCCAGAACAGAAGGGTCCTGTGTGCCGGGAGGGATGGCCAAGCCAGGGTGTTGGGGGCATGGGGTCGGCCTGGGATGGAAATTTTTTAGTTTTAAAGGTTTTTTAAGCAGGCGAGAGGTGTGAGTGTGATTTGACTTGATGGGATCTCGCTGACTTCTAAAGGGGGCTGGGTGGGTGGGGCAGGAAGCAGGCTCAGGGCCTGCAGGGGGGCACAGAGGCAGGCCCACTCTTGGGGTGCTGCTTCCAGGGCAGGGGACACCGTCCTTTGCCCCCTCACTTGTCCGGCTGCCCTCTCCTGGGTTCTCCTTCCTGTGGCCCTTTAAGGATCCTGAGGAAGTTTTACTTGGATAGTTGGAGAGGCAGGAGGCGGCAGGAGCCCCAGACTGTAAAGCCCTGACTGACTGTCTCACCCTCCAAGTTTGGCCAGCTAGTGGGCTGCAAGTGTCCACTCTGTCCCCACACCCTGGGACTAGCACACCTGCCCCCCACTTCTCATCCCTACCCTACTGTCTTTACTGAACCCAGGGTGACAGGAAATGCTTTTAAAAAGTAAAACAAGCCTTTAAGAAAATACCCCAGGCTCTAAGGGCACAGTATGGAAAGGGGAAGGAGAAAGAGTAACCCGACAGAAGAAACTGGACGGACGTGGTCAAGGTCAAAACCACAGGGATCAGTCATACGTGAGAAGACTGTATGTGCCCTTGATACAATGTGAGAAGGACATGGTATCTCCAGGGTCTCCCTCCCCGAATCCACAACCCCAGTCCAATCATGAGGAAAACGTCAGATCCCAGCAGAGGGACATGCTGCAAAACAGCTGGCCAGCCGGCCTCAACACCATCCGGGCCATCAAAACCTGAGGGTCTGAGAAACTCACAGAGGCGACATGACCACCGAATGCAACGAGGGGTCATACTGGTTCATTGGTGGCGACAAATGTGCTGTGCTAATAAGGTGCTGGTCATAGGGAAACGGGGTGAGGGGATATCATATTCTCAACAATCTTGGAAACCTGAAACCACTCTGATATTTTTATTTTAAAAACCACGACCGCGGCAACGCATCTGGCGGGAGTCATGAGCTCCCCCTTGTGGGAACAGGCCTGCATGGGCTGTGACGAGCCTGCAGAAATGAACCAGAACACCAGTGACAGGGCAGACCGTGGCGTGGGGGATGGAGACGCCAACATCTGGCCCCACAGTGGCTCCTGATCCCGTTGGGGAAATTCGCCAGGCCAGCAAGGATTCCTCAGGGCAGCCGACATCCCTGCACCTCTGCTTGGGGCTGGAGACTGAGCTCACCTATCCTGTTGTCACGGGCCCAAGGCACCTTGTGGCGCCTTCATGACATCAGCTTTATTTCCTGCTCTTCCATGAACCTTCAGTATCCGTGGATGGAAAACCCAGACCTTCCCATGACTTTTTCCTCTCCATTCTTAGGAAATTAGGTCCTGGGGTCACTTGAGATTGAAAGTGGTCAACTCCTTAATTAGAACTATCCAGTCCCAGCTAATAAAGTCTGGGCCTTGATTAATGTTAAATCCTCTGCTGTCCCCTTGGGGGCCTGCTGCGGATATCGGAGGGGAGTGGTGTTTCTCCCCCTTGCTTCCTTCTCCCCTCAAGCTGCTGTTTTTGGTTAGGGCTGCCAGATAAACCAGTATGTCCAGTCAAATTTGTATTTCAGATAAACAATGAATAATTTCTTTTAAGTATAAGTAAATCCTGTGCAGTGTTTGGGATTAGTGTTTTGATTAATGAGTGGGTGGCAGCTCCCAAGAGAAAGCTGGAACGTGGTGGCACCAGATGGCTGTGGGTTCGCCCCACAGGCCCACTTGGTAGAATGAATGAGCTGCATTTGTGGGTCCTGATGAGCTGTGGAGTGGCAGAAGAGGTGGCCAGCTTGGGAGAGGGCCTTCTCATCAACAGTCACAGAGGGGGCCATGCTACAGTGCAATTTATAACTGTTGATGTTGACCGTGATTGCTTGACAGAGATTCTACAAATTTCATTACACAGCACATTCCAGAAACTGGAGAACTGTTCGTGTCTTTGGGAATTCATCTGAAGGGCTCTTAGGTTGCTCTGTAGTTGAGAATTTTTAGCCACCAAACTCCAGTGGTCCTGTAGAATGGGCAGCATCAAAGTAGCCCAAGGGCTGTTTCTTGATCTTTATAATCATTGTGTTTCTGATCTTTATTTTGCATCTGCCCTTTTAGTGGAGGAATATGTCCTACAGGAGTGTCTGGAGACCCACACCAAAACCTCAGTGAACTTGGGAGATTCTGGAGTCTCCAAACTTACTCTTGAGTTCAATGCCTGTAGCCGAGGCCATGTGTGCTGGGAGCCAGATCTGTAACTGGGAGCTCTCCAAATAAACCCAGTTTTTAAGGGTTATGTAACAGAAATCCACAAATCTGAAGCTCACATAAATGTGAGTTAAAACACAGTAACCATAGTAACTTAAGAAAGGGGTCAGCAAACCTTGTCTTGCAAGCCAAATCCGGCCGGCTGCCTGATTTTGAAGAGCCAATGAGCTAAAAATAATTTTTCACATTTTTAATGGTTGGAGGGTAAAAATCACAAGAAGAGTATTTCCTGACGTGAAAATTATGTGAAATTCAAAAGAGTGTCCATCAATAAAGTCATTGGGGAAGGCAACCAGGTTCAACTGTTTATATATTGTCTGTGCTGCTTTTGTTCTAGGACAGCAGAGTTGAGTAGCTGTAACAGAGACCTTATGGAGAGAAAAATATGAAATATTTACGATCTGGCCTTCCCCAGAAAAATCTGCAACCCCTAGGTTTAATGCCTAGGCTGATAGACTGCTTTTTCAGGGGGCATTACATCCTTGGTGTCGCTTAGAATTGCAGGCTCACGATGATAAAGAGCAGCCCTGGCCTCGGAGGTTACTGAGCCGTTTTGAGGCAGGGGGCGGCAGCGGCCCTCCCGGGAGCAGGCATGGGGGGCAGATGGGGTGCCCTGGCTATCGGGATTAAAACAGCACTGATCCCATGAAAAGCTTTTCTGACCGGGAGCCAGCACATACGTGTGCCCGAGAAGTACAGGGGGCTGGATCTGGTCCCTTGGCTCCTGGCTGCAGGCGACAGGAACCGAACCCGAATGAGCTGAGAGCTGGGTTAGGCACTGTCATTGACCCACAGGAGGGTGGGCTTGGCTAGGCTCTGGGGCACTTGGCTCTCTTAGAACGGCTTCTCCTGGCGCAGCAGCCTGGGCGCTCACAGGCTCCTCCTGCGGGGCCAGGGCCTTGGAGATGGCAGCAGCCAGGTGCGGCCCTCAGCTGGGAGGCCAGGAGGGGGCGCGCTTCTCCCTGTTCCAGGTGGAAAAAATGGCCAGAAAGCATCTGCTTGGCAGGGAGGGTAGGGACGGGTGGGCAGGAAGAGCTTGGAAAGGCAGCAACCCCTGGCATGAGAGGGGAAAGTGTTCAGAGGGCCTTTGGGTTCTTTTTACGCCTAGAAATCCCCGCTGACATCCCACCTATGTCCCCACTAGAGTCTCTCGCTGCCCTCATTCTCTTTTTTCCTTTATCTTTCCCAAATCCCTCATCCACAGCCCCATCCCCTCCCTTTAGTGTAATCGGCACTGCCCCACTCATTCCACTGGGGGGCTGATGCCGAAGCACAGGGGACTCTGAACCCCCTGCTGCGGTGCCTCCGTCTGCACGTAGCAGGTGCCCTCTGCGTACCTGCAAACCAGGGGACAAGCACCACTGTTGTCCTGTTGGACCTCACAGTTGTCCTAGCCCCACCAGCCTGACCATCGGGCCAGCCTGCAGTCTGACACATCAGGTTTGCCACCCTGTAGCACCAGGATGCTGGGCAGCTCACCTGATAGGGAAAGAGGGCACTTCCTCGGATTGTGTGGAAGGTGGGGTTGGGGTGGAATTTAAAAGGAGCAGTGTTTTGACATGCTCAGAGCCAAGCGGGACCATGCACGTCCAACATCAGGTCTAGGCTGCAAAGTGGACCTGGCTCCTGTCTTCCTTGGGAACCACAGAGTTAAGACCGTCGTGGCATGTCGTGTCCAGACGCACACCTGGAGCTCTGCACCTGGCTTGGACACCCAGGCTCTTCTCTGCCGACGCTGACTTACTTTCTCCTGGTGCGAGTGGGAAGTTTCATTCTTACTGATAGAATTTCAAACAGCAAAGTTTCTCCTAATCTAGGGTTTTAAAGTGTAAAGTCCTTCTTAAGTAAAACAGTTATTACTCAAAAGAGTGATAAGTTGTGGCACATTATAGCTGTAGCTGGGTGTCCTTGAGAAATACTGTTCCTTGTGAGCTTTAGCAGCAGTAAAATCCAGCAGCTGGTTTTATCTGTGACTGTCATTCTGGCCTGGTGAGTGTGGTACTATCACTCAGTTTAGGGGACATTCAGTGTTTTATTGGCTCTGGTGTGTGGTCCAGCCTGGACCAGGGGTCCCTGGGGACATGCAGGGAAGTGGGTGGATGTAGGCTATGTCTTGGAGGCTAAGCAGATTTAGTATAACTGAGCACGCAGAGAGAGGAGGAGGCACCCAGAGGGCTCCAGGCGCCCGACTCAGGCCCGGAAGGGGGTGATGCGCGGAGGGAGGAGGTAAATAGTTCTGGAGGGAAGAGGCTGTTTGGGGTCAGCTGGGCTGAGCTTGAGGTGCAGCCTTGTGAGGACGCCCCATAAGCAAGGGGCAGAGTGCAAGCTAGACCAGCTGGGCGGGCAGGTGTGGGGTCAGCGCAGCAGCCAGGTGGGGGATGAATTCCCAAGGAAGGCTGTCATCTCAGGGAGACTTGGAGGAGTGAAAGAGAGGGCCACGGGGGACAGCAGGAGGGCCTCCGGGAGAGCAGAGCCCCAGTGAAGACCGCCTGGGAGAGAGGGAAAAGCCAGAAGGGGCGACCTGAAAACCCGGAGGGTGAGCTTGCAGGGGTAAGCGGGGTGCCGGCGGGGTGCCAGCTGCGAGCCCCACAGCCAAGGGCTGAAAGTGCCCCTTGGAATTAGTGGTAGGTTTCAGTAGTTTGGGAAAGTCTTGAAACATTTCGGAGGGACGGGGGTAGGGGAGGGTGGGTACCGGCTGGAGAAGGGTGTGGGGTCAGGGGGGTTTACTTACCGAGACTGGAGGGGGACTTAGGCACCTTGAAATGCTACTGGGAAGGGCTGTGGTCAGAGAATGTGGGCGGAGACCTGGTTACCGGGAAGGTGAGGGGTGGGGTCGGAGGAGAGCTGCCCGGGTCCCGATCTGCAGAGGCCTCAGAGGGGGAAGGCGCGGGGCGGGCTCACGTGCCCCTTCCCTCCCCGAGCCTCACTGGGGCCCAGCCTCCTCTCTCCCAGACACACCCGCGCCGCTCCTCCCCACCCAGGCCACACCCCGCTCTGTCCCAGTGCCCCTCCCTGGCTCTTACCCCCGAATCAGCAGCCTTTTCCCCAGACCCGCCGCCAGCCCCAGCTCTCAGCTCTCCCCAGCTGGGCCTGCGGGAGCCCAGCCTTCCCGGAGATGCTTCCGTAGGCTCGGTCCGCGCCCCCGCCCGCCAGCGCCAGCCCCCGTCTCACGAGGTGCACTGCTATTGGTTGACTTCTCCCTAGGGCTCCGCCCCTCGGCTTCCTCTTCTGTGATTGGGGCATAATCCGCCCGTCAGAGCCGTCACCTGGCAACGGGGCGGGCTGTTCCCGGGAAAAATCCAGGCGCTAGACCGGAAAGGCAGGTAGGACAGTTGCTGGGGCCAGGGAGGGTTAAGCTGAGCGCGGGGGTCGCCGGCCTGATGGCCTGGAGGGAGCAGCTCGGCTCGGGTTGGGACGATGATGTCCCTAGTGGGCCCGGGCCCTGCCCCTCTCTGGCTGCCCACACCTCCGGCCCGGGGCTGGGGGAGTCGAGGAGGTGGGGGGACAGCTGTGAGGGAGGGAGGGTGTCCCCGTGTGGTCAGGCAGAGCGCAAAATCACCCTGCACGTTCCCCTTCCGTGTGGTCACGATCAGAGGGTCCCGGCCGGTGTTCCCCCCGGGGTCTCCGAGGCCCCAGAGCGAAGGCCAGCTGTCCAGAGGGGAGGGCCGTGGAGCTGGAGTAGACGGGGCAGGAGTCTGCGGGAAGAGGCGTCGGGGTTACACTGGAGCAGGTGTGTGGGGGCTTTCCCCTTGCGTACTGACCAGCGTGCTAGGCTTATCCCTCCGGAGTCAGGGCAGATGGGGGGAAAGAAAACGTTCCCAGGCCAGCACCCCTGCAAATTAGCAAGGGAGGCAGGGACTGCGAGCAGCCTGAAGGCAGGTCCAGGCTGGAGCTGACCCTTTGCAGAGGCTGCTGGTTGTGGAATGGGACCGGGGCTGGAAGTCAGTCTGTCCAGGTGAGGCAGTGGGAGACTTACCTGGAAGGGAAGGGAGTGCTGAGGGCCGGGTACTGCTCCCAGGACAGTGGCCCGTTAGAGGCAGGGGGTCTCTTGAAGATGGGGATTGGAAGTAGGCGAGGGTGACGAGGCTCTGCGGGGATGCCGACTAGGCTTGTCCTTGGATAGCTTTCCATTCTGCAGGGAAATGGACCCTGGCGCCCTCCCAGCACGGAGGGAGTCCTGCCTTCCAGGCTGGGCTGTTTCCCCTGTTCCAAGGCAAGAACTCAACCTTCCACTGTCTTTGCCCATCTGTCTCCATCTCTGGCCTCCGGAAAGCAGAATTAAATGCAGTGTGGTACCTCATTTAATCCTTTCCACCTCATTACACGACTGGTGGCACTTGCCCCATTTTACTAAGATTTGAAAGGCTTAGTAACTTGCCCACAGTCATAAAACCAACCAGGGTCAGAACTTGAGCTCAGAACTGCCCATCCTTGCTTACAACATAACTTCAGAACCGGGGCCTCAGCACTGAGAGGGGTGCTTTAGATATCAGCACACTTGAGTGCGGACCCTCCGCCCTGCCCACCACCCCACATCCTTGGAAGCCAGTTTCTCTCTCTCAGCTTTACTGCCATTTGGGGCCAGGTCATTCTTTGTTGGGTGGGCAGGAATGGCTGTCCTGTGCATTGTATTTAGCAACACCCCTGCTTTCTAACCACTGGATGCCAACAGCACCCGTCTCCCAGGTTTATAACCAAACAACAAATATCTCCTGGGGGACAAAACTGCCCCCAGTGGAGAAGGGCTGGTGTAAGGGATCTTAAAACTGATGTGTGTCCTCCTGGAAGAGAACTGGATACACACCTACAGATGGCTCAGGCCAGTGAGGTGGTTTTATGAGTAACTTGGTAGAAAAATGGTGTTCCCCAGAGGGTGGTATATGCAGAACTGTCCCATGAGAAAACTATTGCCAGGGACTGAAAGGAAGTTGGGGAGCTGGGATTTGAGAAGCAGTAAGAATGCATCAAAAGCCTTCATTTCCTCCCCAAAGTTGATGAAAGAGAGTTCTGGCATTATTGAAACAACCCAGGCTAGGATGGATGAACCTGGGGACACTTTGTATTATCGTCATGACTTCAGCCTGCCTTGCAGGGGCTCTTTACACGGAAGTGGGGTTGTTCTTGGAGCTGTTGTGCGTGTCCTGGTGGGGCCGGAGTGCATTCTCAGAGGCTGCCTGACTTCCTTGCAGACTTCAGGCCTGTGGCTCCTGCCTGCGGCTGCCACACACCCTCTCCCTCCAACTCAAAGCCCGTGTTGCCTGCGTGCCCTGCTTCTGGGCCTTTGCTGGTGTGCGCTGCTGGTGCTGCCCTATACCTGCCCCCATGCTGACATCTGCGCCTTTGTGCACGTGTGCGCCCCTGTTCTCCATGTTCCTTTCTCACAGCGCTGGGGCCCTGGGAGGTCTGGCCAGGCTGCTCTGCACAGCTCTGTTTTCAGACAACAGTGCGGCAGCCTGTTTTTAGTGGGGTGGAGGAGGAGGTTTGGGGAGCTGGGTGAGGCAGAGGGGGCTCCCCTTGCTCTGTGGCCCATTGTGGTGCCTGTCCTGGACCTCTCCTTGATCTCGGTCTACACCCCACATCGTGGTGTGCACTGTGCCTACTTCCTGGGTAAGCCACCTGTGGGCGTGCTGACTCCTGTGTCCCCCTCAGCCCCATCCCCACATACCCTCGTGGCACATGTCTGTCTGTCCCCATTGGATGGGGTGCTCCTGCAGCTAGGGCCTCCACCTGCCCTCTGACGGGGCCTGGCCCAGGAGATGCTGTGTTAGTTACTGAAGGAACAGGTGGTGTCTTGGAGGAGGTGGAACCCAGGGCCTCTTAGGGGCACAACCCCTGGGTACACTGATTCCTCAATAGTGGACCATCTAGAAACTTCTGAAGAGGGTCATGTAAGTGTTGGCAGCCTTTTAGCCCCAGAAGTCCCCCTTAAAGAGACTGGCATCCCTGTGGTAGAGTGGTTCTTTGGTTGTGAGCAGGGTGGAAGCCTTCTCAGGATTTTGGGAGTTTGAAGCACGGCATTGAAGTGGCATTGCCCTTAAAGAGAGGCCGGAGGTGACACTGACTTGAGTTCCCACCCTCATGATTGGCTTTCCCGTGGCCTCTGGGCTTGTTTTCTTCTCCAGGCAGGGAGGCTCAGCCAACCAAATAGGACGTGTGCAGTCCCTGCCATGGCCCGGGCCTGGATTCAGGGTAGAGCACACCCTGCAGCCTGTCATTGGGCCTGGCACCGGCTGTGGATGGAAAAGTGCGTGACACTGATCCGTGGGGCCCAAGTACCATGGGGGTCTGGGAGTGAGTCGCAAGGGACCCAGGCCAGCCTCCTGGAATTTGCACATGGGGGCCCATAAAGTGGTGGAAGAATGGGCCTGTCCCCCTGAGAGGCCAGCAAGGAACGACACAGCCATTGGGCAGGCATGTCCCATGCCCACATGCACTAGGCTGGCAGGTGCCAGGCATGTGGCCGAGGAGCAGTCTCCTGTGACTTTCAGATTTTAGTGGGCAAATCAGGCATGAACCAGGGGACAGTGAGGGCACGAGCAGTGTGAGAGAGGAGAGCCTTATATTCCATTTCAGTTAAGGCACCAGCCAGGTCTAAGGCTGAGCAGGGTGGAGGGCGTGCAGAGGTCGACAGGGGGCAGGAAGGAACTGCCCAGAGGGACTTGTGTCTGATGCCCAGAACGGACCACACTCGTGTTCTCAGCCCTTTGCTTTGGCTGACTGGTCTAATTGCAACAGCAGCTTCTGAGGTAGGGCTGTGATTATTCCCACTTTGCAAATGAGGACCTCCAGGGACAGAGTTACAGGAGCTTGCCTGGCGTGACACGGCTGGAGGGGGTGGAGCCAGGACGCCAAAGGGAAACCCGCCCACCGGCGTGTGCACTTGGCCATCGTATCTTCAAGGCTTTGATTTTATTCAGATACATGTGATGGTCCAGCCTTGCAGATTTTTTTTCAACTCAGGTTTGAAAAAAATGAGTATTTGGATTAAAATACTAATTTTTCTACCTTTTAGTTACATGAGCTTGGGCACTGTGTTTTCAAATAAAGAAACCCAGACTGTCGTTTGGCCACGATGGGGAGGCTTTGGGGGATCGTGGGAATCAGGGTTGGATGTTCCCAGTGTATTTGTATCAAGTAGGCATTTCTACCACATGGAAATAACATTAGGTAGCTCTGATGTGTTTCAGCTACATTTTGCAGCTAAATTAATAATATCTATTAATTTGACCGTATAATTATCAACATTTATTTTCTATGACATCACATTTTGCCTTCTCCCTCTAACTTGATACCTTTTGCTTCTGCAGAGAATTCTGCCGGACTAAGGAAAGATGGGGAATAGCAAAAGCCACGCGGGGCAGGAATTTTGTTCACAGTTTCTTCCTGAGGAGCAGGCGGAGATCAATAGATTGTTCGATGCTCTGTCGTCAGAACAGCACGGCTCCAATACGTCGCCCGGCTCCTTCTCTCTGGAGGCACTAAAGGCAAGGGGAACAGCAGTGCGTGTTCAGTCTGGGGTCTGCAGAGGTCTGCCAACTGTGGCTCTCAGGCCAAAGCTGGCTCTCCGTTTTTGTAAGGCCTATGTATGGGAACAGGACCTGTGAGGGGCCAGGTGGTGGGTGGGTTTTCAGCTTTGCGGCCAGTGATCTCGCCGCAGCTGCTCCTCTGCCTTTGGAGTGTGAGGTTCTGGGGACATTTCTGACTTGAGGCCAACCGAAGGGGCCAGCCCTGCCTCCCATCTCTGGAGCTGCGTCTCCTGGTTCCCATCCAGGCTGGGTGACAGACAGCCTTGTGGGGCTCGCGGGCCCAGTCATCACAGTTAGAAGGATGCCTTTATCTTTAGGTAAATCCGTGGGTGTTCGATGTCCTAGGAATGTTACGTCGCTCCTAACAAGATAGTGACTTTTCAAATTCAAGGTTCACCAGAAAGGAAACTGCCCATTTCCCCATCTTTTTGTCCCATTCCCTGGGCTCCTAGCTGTGTGTTTGAGTGCCCAGACTGAGGCAAGACCGTGGCAAAGAGGGGAAGCCGCCCATCCTCTGGGGCACCAGGCACGGCTGCAGCGTGTGGAGGCACATGGCCGCCTTCTAGTTCTCTTAGAACATGGGGAGTGGGAGCTGGTGGGGGCCCTGGGGCTCACTTTACAGATGAGGACACTGGCCAGGGAGGTTTCCCAGTCACAGTGGTGGTGTGCGTGCCCCGCTTAGACCGAAAGCGTCCACGAAGCTGGAACAGACAGACTAGATACCAAGTAGCGTCCTGGATGCAGAGTGGGTGGCCGCACTCACGGGTGAATATCAAGATAAATGGGATTAAAGGTTAATCAGGAAACCACGGCGACTGAATGAAGTTTCCTTTGGGAAAGAATTGCAAGTTGCTTTGCCGTTAAAACTTTAAAGGCGCCAACAGAGGGAGGGGTACTCGTGTTGAGTAGCGAGGGCGGCGTCTCTTTACCAGAACCGCAGAAGAGAGATGTCACACACAGCACGCGCATGGTGACTTGTTAAAGGACAGCCCAGCTTTCAGTTCCTGCTCTGAGGGAGCGTCCTGATTTCGCTGGTGATTTGTGCTCTCTCGCCATTTATTTATAATCCCTGCACCAAACCAGATTTGATGTTGGAGTGAAAGAGGAAAAGAATGTTTACAGAGTGCTATTGGCAAGGCATTAATTAAGAATTTGATTTCACATTTAAATAAAAATGTTAAACGCTTATTGAGCACAAAGAACTTGGGTAAGAAGTGAAAGCTAGCTAATAGATTTGCAATATATTTGGAAGTCACTAATACAGAGGGGACCAGATTAGCTATCCAGACATCTGTTCCAGGTGTTAATAAACACAGACATGCCAATGGCGGGTGTCAGAGGCTAGACAGATGTTGTAAGCAGAGTGAAGAGCAGACGATGGCCAGAGGCAGGAATGACGTGGCCAATCTGGGGAGACTGCAGAGTTTGGAGGGCAGGATGGAACAGATTATGGAAGAGTCTGATGGCCAAGGTGAGCCACAAGCCAGGACACGTCAGGCATGCGTCCTGGGTGTTGTGATGGCCTAGTGGGGGCGAGATGGTGCGTGTGGGGACTTAGGAAGGTTGAGAGCCGGGGGAGTGTCCTGGGGTTGCTGCAGGTGGTCTGGGTCTCCTCGTTATTTCCTGGGGTCCTCGTGCTTTTAACTCACACTCTGTCCTGCCTTTTCTCCCACTTGTCCCCAACAGAGCCACGTTGGGGACGCTCTGCCACCAGAGATGGTCGGCAGACTGTATGATGGCATGCGGAGGGCCGACCCGCCTGGGCGGGCGAAGGGGCCCGGCGAGGGTGTCTCCCGGGTGCAGTTCACAGTGTCCTTGTCTCACCTGCTGAAAGGAAGCTCTGAGGAGAAGAGCCTCGTGGTCCTGAGGATGATTTCTGCCGCGGAAGGTCCTGTGAAGGCTAGAGAAGTGTCCAAGGTAGAGGCGGGGCCCTGGCCACCATCCCAGGCGGGCTCGGCGTCGCCAGGTGGGGCTTTAGGATGGCAAGCCGCTGGCGGAGGCATGGTGGAGAGTCCACCTTCGGGGGGCCCTGGGCCACATAGCTGGTTGGGGTCAGAACCCCCTGGACAAAGGCCTTGGCAGAACCGGACCCGCCAAGGGTACCACTAGAATAAAGACCGCCTGCACTACACGATCTCGCCCGCATTGCGGTCCACCACTGTTGGCACTAGAGAGAATGTTGATACAATGCAGGGCATAGGTCATGGTGGAAATGTTCCTAGTGATAAAACCGCGGTTTTCCAGTTTACAGAGGATCTGGTTGGTTCTGTGGTGCATGTGCTAAACTACAGGCAGGAGCTGAGAGGCTGGACCCAGAAGAAAGCCCCAGGCTCCCCCACCAGCGTGCAGGTGCTGGCCGCCCACCTCTTCTCCGAGATGAAGCTCCAAGGCAAGTGCCCTGTATGCGCCCACCCACCTAGGCCCTGGCAGCATAGAGTGGCACCAGGCTGTCCCGATTATTGCAGCCTTGTAGTAAAGTTTTGAAATCAGGAAGTGTGAGTCCCCCAACTTCGTTTTGGCTTATCTTATTGGTTGGCCATAAAACATGCCTCAGTAAATTTAAAAGGATTGAAAATCATATAAAGTATGTTCAACCCCCATGAAATGAAATTACAAATCAATAACAGGGCAATTTGGGAAATTTCACAAACATGTAGAAATTAAATACCATAGTTGTTTACAGTATTTTCTTACAATCCTTGTTCTACAAGATCAATAGTGGTGTCCCCACTTTAATTTCTGACTTCAGTCCTTTGAGAGACTCTCTTTTGTTCTAGGTCAGTCTAGCTAAAGGTTTATTGGTGTGTGTGTGTGTGTGGGTATGTGTATTTTCAAAAAGCCACCTTTTTGATTATGTTGATTTCCTATCATTTATCTCTACTTCATTTCCCTTGAAGTAAATATAAGGTGATGTCTAAGTCTTCCTTCCTTCCTTCTGCTCATTTTGGTCTTTTCCTAGTTTCTTAAGGTAGAAATTTAGGTTATTTATTTGAGATCTCTCGTCTTTTGTCATATATCCATTTATGGCTATACATTTCCCTCTAAGCACTGTTTTAACTGAACCCTGTAAGTTTTGGTATGTTATGTTTTTGTTCTTATTCATCTCAGTTTTCTAACTTCTCTTATAATTTTCTATATAATTTTCTAACTTCTCTTATAATTTATTCTTTGGTCTATTGGTTATTTAGATATGTGTCATTTAATTTCTGTGAATTTGTGTATTTCCCAAATCTCTATCGTTGTAATTCTATTCCGTTGTGGTTGAATTCTATTCCATTGTGGTTGAGATTCTGAATATTCTAGTAGCCACATTAAAGTAGTAAAAAGGAACAAGTGAAACATAACTTTGTATAATTTCAATCATTTTAAATTTGTTTCGGCATGTTTTGTGGCCTAACAGATGGTCTATTCTGGACAATGTTCCAAGTGCACTAGAGAAAAATGTTGGAAGAGAGACACATTTTAAAATTTACTTGGGATTTAAAAACACCTTGTGGCGAATCTCTTTGCCAAGTAGATTTGTTCTGTAGAAGTGTTACTGTTTTATTATACAGCTGGATTAAAAAATTTTTTTTTAAATTTTGGTATCATTAATCTATAATTACATGAAGGACATTATGTTTACTAGGCTCCCCCCTTCACCAAGTACCCCCCACATACCCCTTCACATATTCAGCTGGATTTTTAAATCAAGTTTGAAAATAGGTATTTCAAACATTAATCTAACTGATGTATTTGGAGCTTGGAAAGAAAAATAACATAACACGTCATTATATATATATATATGTTTATGTATAAAATATCAGCAGTCTGTCTTCTGATATTTCCACCATATCACTTCCATTCTTAGTAGGTAAGATAGAAAACAAGCTGTAGACATGGCTTGGAAACAAGCATAACTCATAGTCAATGAAAGTCATTCTTCCCAGATGAACTGGTGGGGCGCCCAGTAAGTCGCCCGCCACTACTTGACTTACCTGGAGAATAACGCACGTCTAAGTTCTCTCCAGGTGGCTTTGCTGGGGCTGAAGCCCTTGGCAGCCTCTCTCAGGAGCAGCTGCTGAGGCGTCCAGGGCTGGGCCTGGGGTCAGGGAAGGGCTGTCCCCTGGGCCTCTGACATGCAGCTTAGAGGGAGATAAAAGTCAAGAGGGTTGACATGAATTGTTTCGATCTGTGTTGTCCAATGAAAATATGACAGGCACCAATGCAAGCCATGCATGAGATTCTGAATATTCTAGTAGCCACATTAAAGTAGTAAAAAGGAACAAGTGCGATCAATTTTAATGTCCAAACATAATTTAACATTGGGAATTAATATAGAAAATGATTGAGATATTTTACTTTTTTTTTCATAATCGAGTCTGAAATCAGGTGGGCATTTTACACTTACCTCACCTCTCAATTCAGACGGGCCACCAGTCAAGTGCTCAGAAGCCGCATGGGCTCCCCCATGGTGGGGCAGGTTAGGTAGTGAGTATAAGGTGATGTGGTTGCACCGTTTTCTCCTGCCCTAGACGGCGAGAAGCTCCTGGGGCCTCAGCGGCTGGACTGTGACTGTGACCACACCGTGATCGAGGACTGGGTGTTCAGGGCCCCCCATGTGGCCGCCTTCCTGAGCGTGGTCATCCACAGGGGCTTTCTCCTGCTGCACCTGCCCCTCAGTCTGGCCACCCTGGTCCCTGAGCGTCAAGTCGACCAGGGCGGGGAGTTTGAGAGCGTCCTGGACGTCCTGTCGGTCATCTACATCAACTCCCACCTGCCCAGGATGCTGCAGCACGGCTGGCGTCTGCTGTTCTCGTCTGAGCTCCATGGGCACAGCTTTGCCCAGCTCTGTGGGCACATCACCTAGCAGGGGCCCTGCGTGGTGCTCCTTGAGGACCATGACGGCCACGTGTTTGGTGGGTTCGCTTCCTGCTCCTGGGAGGTCAAGCCTCAGTTTCAAGGTAACAACCCCCAGGTAGTAGCCCTGCTTCTTGCTGCCTGGAGGCCTCTGAGCAGGACAGGGTGTGTGGGTGCCCAGAAGCCTTGTTCCACCTGCTCCAGGCATGGTTGGAGGCTCTGCTCTAGGATATGGGAAGAAAACCTGAAAATCATTACAATAAACTTCCACTTTTTCCAGCTCCTTTGCTATCAATTCCAGGTTAGCTCTGCTGGGTTTCAATGTTTAGTAACAAGCAGACTTACTCTTCTTGAAGAGGAATGGAAATTACTGTTTTTGAACTTAAATTCGTTCTGCTCTGAAATGAGGAGGGAATTCCAGGAGGGGGCAGCCTTGCATCGCAGACTCAGGTGACGTTTGAGAGCGTCTGGCAATTTGTCCTGGAAACCAGATCGGGCATTTGAGACTTGAAGTGACATCACGACCACGGAGTCACCTCATTTTTGCTCACATTTTCTGTAGTGCAGTTGAAAGCCCGCGGCTTTGGGCTGAGCTGGCAGCCTCTGAGCCTGGCGCTGGTCCTGGGTGAGCGGCCTCCTTGCCCTGGGCCTGGGTTCCCAGAGCCACGTGATGTGGCGCCGTGTGGGAGAGCAGCTGTACGAGGCGTGCGATGGGGGTCTTGGCTGCGGGTCCTCGAGTATCGTACGTCAGAGAGAGAGAGGAGCCCTCTGCTGGCTTGACTGTTTTGGCAGCAGACGAGGATGACTCCTGGGGAACCTGCCCTGCCTCCTAGGGTGACCTTGCCGCCCGTGGCCTTGCCCCAACAGCACACAGACCCAGGAGCCCTAGAATGGGGTCCATTGCAGCTGATGGCTACCCGTGGTGGCTCCGTCACCTCACTTAGCATCCGGGACCCACAGACGCTGGGGCAAAGGCAGTCTTAGAATTGCCAAGCAAAGTGAAGCATATGCCCCTCATGGGGGCAACAGGTCCACTGTGTCTGAAACTGCCCCAGCCTGGGGCTGCCTGAGCCTGCGGAAGCAAGTCTGAGTCTCAGGCCTGGTAGTAGCGCCCTGTCGTCTGGCTCCAAGTGACCTCTCCGGGCTCGGCTCCCTTCTGCCCCACCCCAGCGCTCACAAACCCTGCGGTGGGCGCCACATGGGCCCCTGTTCCTTAGCGGCTCTCACCCAGCCCTCCCCATCTCGGACGGCCTTCCCGACCCTGCAGCGTAGTGCGTGGCCTCCAGAAGCTGCTGGACCGCACGGCCGCAGAGGCCCGTTTCCACCCGCTCCCCCACCTTCACTCCCAGTCGGCTTCCCGTAACCCCTCCCACCCAGCGCACCGCCCAACCCCCAGAGGACGCAGATGCGTCCGTGTCAGCTCCCACGGCTTGTTTGGTATCAGGTGCCCTTCACGCCGTCAGTATGGGCCACAGCCTCTGGGCCACGTTCTCCTACTGTCCCAGGGCTGATGGTCCTTGCGGTGAATCAGGGAAGGAGGGAGGCATGCTCAGACCTACGGGGTCTGGGGTGTCCTGCGTTGACCAGGACCTTCTCCTGGTGGCCTGCGGCTGACAGTCCCTCACTGGGTGGCCCCACCTGAGCAGCTGGTCCTGAGGGCAGCAGAGCACCTGCAGGCTTCCTGCCCCTTTGGGCTGTGCCTTCTTTAGGTTGTGCCGGTGCCATGTCAAGTCCTAGGTGCTCTCTGACCACCTTGCTCTTAGTTAAAGGGGCCACTCTTCCCGGCTTGGAGCCCCCGGCCTGCCAGTGGTGGGCAGCTCTGTGCCTTGGCGAGGGCCAGAGGGCATCCCCAGCAAGCAGATGCCACAGTCCATTTTAGCTGTCGCTGTCACCTGACCCTGCGCCCCAGCTCATCCTCAGGTCCCAGGCAGCCACAGGCCTGTCCTCTGCGGGTCCGGGAGCCGCCTGCAGAGCCGTGGCGGCCAGGGTCCCGGCATGCAGCAGGCTCAGGGAGCTCCCGCAGAGCCACGTGGCAGCTTCGCTGTCTGAGAAGTGGCCTGTTTGCGCTTCCTGCTCTTTGTGCTACTCAAGTTGGTGCCCCCCTTCTCTGCTCTGGTCATTTCCAGGGGATGACAGATGCTTCCTGTTCTCGGTCTCCCCCAGCATGGCTGTGTACACGTGCACGGGCTACAACGACCACTACATGTACCTGAACCATGGGCAGCAGACCATCCCAAACGGACTGGTAAGGACCTGGCAGAGCAGGGGACATCACCCTCGGGCGTCTGTTCTGTGGTGCAATCTGTCCCAATATGCCAGGCTGACACTGTCCCCTGCAAGTTGGGGAGCTGTATGCATTTCATTATGCAAACGTGCCGAAGTCAGTTCATTCTGCGGCATCAGTGCCTCGGAGAGTGACAGCGGGGACAGAATTTCTCATGCAAGGGTGGGCCTCTGCAGAGATGTCAGAGCTTTGTGTGTGAATGGTAGCTTCGGCCAGTTTTCCGGGCAATCAGATGGCTGGCCTGTGGCCTCCGTGGCTAGAGAGGGTGTCGGCTTAGACCTGCCACCAGGTGTTGCTACCCTGGCATGATGTGGAGGTGAGCAGGGGGGTGGGGGGGCACACCCAGAGCTGAGCTCCCCAGACCCATCAGGACTCGTTGGCGGGCAGCTCCCCAGGCAGTGATGGGGTGACTACACCCCCCATCTGCTCTGCGTTCCAGCCTGTGGACTCAGCCACAGAAAGGAGAGGGAGAGGGCGAGGCTGAGGGCCCAGCATGGGCCGGGGGGCCTGGGGCAGGCGACGGACACCTGACCGCCAGCTGCATTTGGGTGGGAAATGTGGCTCCCGCCAGCGCCCGGCTGTTGCCTTTCTCTGCTGCTCAACACAAAGCGCCTTTTGGGAAGTTCTGGCCCTGCTTGCACTGTCAAGGGCTGGAAGGCTGGTCCACCTTATTAGGATGGACGGGTCCTGGCACGCCTTTGCAGGCTTGCTGTGCAGCCCTCATGGGGCCACTTGAGGATTCTAGCACCTCCCAGAAAGGGCAGTTTGGTGACCACAGGGGCGAGGGCTCTGGCCTGAGGAGCCGCCCCCAGCAGGTCCCCAGGAATAGCCGGGAGGAACCCTGAGCATAGGCTGCGTTTTCCTGCTCTGCTCTCTCGCTCACCTTTGGGGAAGGCAGTGGAGGTGGCATCTGGAGAAGGTGGCCAGGGAAGCTGAGCAGCAGTTCTGTCCCCATTGGCCACTGGCTCGGAGCTGCACTGTTGCAGGTGGGGGCTCAGGGGGTCGCCCCTGGGTCTGCCTCCCTCCTGTTGGCTGTCCTCCAGTCACCACCCTGAGCAGCAGTTGGAGGCTCCCAGCCCAGTGTCTGGTCAGGGTTAGGACAAGGACAGTCCAACACAGGCTTCCAGGTCAAGTTCTGTGTTGCCTCGCCCCTTATTTTAATGGTTTGGGTCTCTGGCCCCGATGGCCTGTGTCTTTTTGTCCTCTGTTATCACTGTGCTTCCAGCCAGCGTAGCCCATGAGAAAGCCACGGGGTGGCGTCTGGACACCTCCAGGACTGTTCTAGTAACTTGTAATGGGTGTGTGAATCGCCACAGTCTGTTTCTCAGTAAGGGGGGTGGGGAGAAAATGCCTGTGCTTGCCACCCACCCTTGTCGCAGCTGTACTGTGGCCGAGGTGTGTGATGCCAGCGCTGAGGAGCTGACCTCTCCCCCCACAGGGCATGGGAGGGCAGCACAGTTACTTTGGGCTGTGGATTGATGCCGATTTCGGGAAGGGACACAGCAAGGCCAAGCCCACGTGCACCACATACAACAGCCCCCAGCTGTCGGCCACGGAGAACTTCCAGTTTCAGAAGATGGAGGTGTGGGCCGTGGGGGACGCTGCAGGGACACAGCCGGTGAGCTGGGAGGGCCACCTGCTGGCCTCCCCTCTCCTACTCCTCCTTCTGCAGGTCATTTGCTCAAACTTGTTTCTGGCAGCGGTTGCTGGACACGGGGAGCTGGTGAGGGCACAGCAGAGCTGGGAGTCCTGTCGGGGTGCACGGGTTTAGTAGAGTGAGCTGCCCCAGGACGTGGGCCCTGTGCCGGTGGGAACCGGGTTAGGGGCCACCGGTCCACCAGACGAGGGGCGTCTGGGGTTCCTTCTAGCTCCCTGGTTCTGCCATGAGTCATTCCTAGGCCCCCTGCCCCTCGTCACCTCCCAGCGATGGCGGCCCAGGGTGTGGGGACCCCAGGGAGAGAGCCAGAGCCCCACCTTGTTTTCCTTGTGGCAATAGTAGGTTCTTGATTCTGTTCTCACAAGTTGGAAACCATGAGGGTGCCGCTGCTTGTTCCTGGCTGTCGGGGTGACCCTTGTCTCCCTGCACCTGCCGCTGAGCCCACCCACCCCTCCCTTCCTTCCCAAGGCCAAGAGCAACAAGAGTGTTCTGGACGCGGACCCGGAGGCCCAGGCCCTGCTGGAAATCAGTGGGCGGAGTCGCCATAGCCAAGGGCTCCGGGAAGCCCCTGATGCGTGAGAAGGCGCCCCCGCCCCGGCCTTCCTGAGCCGGAGCAAGTCCCCCCTGGGTGGAGCACACAGCCTGCGGACCCTCTGCCCGTCCTGTGTGTGTTTGACCAAGAGCGGCGCTGGGCATGTCCAGGCGCACCTGGGTGCGCTGACTGGGGCACGTGGTAAAATCCCTCTGATGCCATCTACTGACTCGTGGGTGCATCTCCCAGAATGTTGAGTGTCAGATTACAACTTGATCCCTGCACTTTGTTTCATATCCATGAAATCTGAAGCCACTGAGACACTGAGACCTCTGCTGGAGTGAGCGTTTGATGGGAATCTGAGCACCTGCCTGGGAGGGGCTCCACGCTCAGGGTCCCAGGCCCGTCCCTTGGCTCCTGCTCAGGCCGTCCCAGGTAAAAGCGTGCCTGGATGTCCCGTTTTCACTGGTGAAGGCAGAGGCTTTTGGATGTGAATCTTGATCTTGTTGGGAACAGCCTCCTAGGACATGAAACTCCTGCATTTAGAGAAAGCACAGTGTATTAATGGGGAAATAGCCAAATATTTTGGAGATGACGGGTCACAGTGGTGTGGTCCTTGATAGATGTTTACAGTAAGTTCCACATCTGTGTTTCTCAGCTGTTTTTAAATGCATGTGTGCCATGAGAAAATGGGAAAGCCAGGAGACCTACAAATCTAAATGTGGGGGACCTTCTGGGTCCCCAGTATGTCCCGTTGCATAAATTAGTGGTAACTTGACAGTATTGGCCTGGGGTCCTGACCCTGGCACCGCCCTGTCACTGTGGCCCTCCTGGCCCAAAGTGGGTGATGGGCATCTCACAGTGTGGACTCACTTTAAACAAAGTCCACTGATCCTGAAATGCTAATGCTGGCTTAGAGGGGCCAGGCCTCTGAGCAGAGCTGCCCTCTGCCCTCTGCCCTCTGCCCTCCCAGCAGGCCTGAGGAGCTAACACACTGTGAGCACCCCCTGCTCAGAGGAGCTGTGGGTTTGTCTCTAAGACATAATACCTCCTCTTTTCATCTTTTGCTGTAAACTTGGACCTTCTGTGGATTGGACAAAAACGTGGCCTTTATTGCTGAGTCACCCTGATTATAAGCCATAGTAAACCGGGCTGTTTGCATTTTGCAGCTTCTGCATTTTCCACCAGCAGACTCATCACACTGCATTGGCAGTGCCCCTGACCGAGCAGAAGGCCTTGCAAATGAGCCTTCAAGAGAGAAGTGCACACTCAGGCGGAGGGATGGTGGCAGGACTCAGAGCTGAGTCACAGCTGATTTTCCTTATAAAAAGCCCATTTTTAATAGTTCTCAGGTGCATTATGTGATCTTCCAGCTGATGGGAATGCAGCAGATGCAGGACATTAGGATCCTCAGATCCTCACCGTAAGTCCAAAGAATTGAGTCCCAAATCTTCAGTTTGTTATGGAAGTTTTTTTTAAAGTTCAATTAAATACCTCACCAATAAAAGGTCTGTCGATCTCCATACCCTCAGCGCTGTCACTGCTGCCTCTGTTCATGGCTGTCAGGCCAGATTTTGTCTGCACTTTCTGCTTGTGCTTGTTCCAGTGAGAATACAGACGGCAAATAGGGATCTGAGTCCCAGGACAGCACACTTACACGGGGAATGGGGGTGTCCGGCCCAGGCGCTTGGTAAACTGGGGGACGCGGCCCTCGCAGTGGGCGCGGGACAGCTGTGCACCTGAACCCTGTGTAGGGTGTCAGCCGCAGCCGGGGTCTCTGGGCCTGACAAGCCTCCCTCTCCCGGGACTGGGAAAACACAATGCTAGTTTTAACACATGGAGAGTTTGTTGTTCTATGAAACGGAAATAAGAATTCAATATGGAAGGCCCAGCAGTGTCCCTGTAAGTGAAGGCTGATCAGGGCCCCAGAAGATGCTAGAAGGAAGAGGTATGGTCCATGGCGCCATCATGGCTATTGTTACTTATTTTCCATCATGTTTTCTTAATTTAAAAAATGCCATATGTGTTCATAATGAAAAAGGTTGAAGTACAGAAGAATACCGCTTGAGTGCTAAGTCCTCGTGCTGCCCCTTCTCCAGCTGTCTTCCTTCCCCAGGTTTCCCAGTCATCCAACCAGTTCAGTCTCCCACCATAGGTACCCCATTGCACACCCAACCCATGTTTTGCACACCGGTGTGTCCCTCACTCTTTTTTGGTGCAGATGGCTCCATATCCATCTTTCTGTCTCCCTGTGTTTTCATTGACTATGTGGTGCCCTGGCTGGAGGACGTTTTGTTTGTAGCTAATCATCGCTGGAGTGAATATCCTGTATTCGTGTCTTGGTGTGATTTTGTCTGAAGGATAAACTCTTAGAAGTTGAATTGTTGGATCCAAAGGTACATGCTTTTTTGGCTAGATATTGCAAATTAACAAAACTTTTTTGAGCTCATATTATTAGGGTGCTTGTTTGCCACACTTTCTCTAACACTGTATTAGGATTTAGTTTTCGTTTACCTGATACATGAAAACTATAATTTTATTTTCTATTCTCATGAGTGACAGGGAACAGCTTCATTTTTCAAAAGTATCACAACCTTCACCTGGTTTTCTAGGGGGTGAGTCTCTTTCTATTGACCTCTTAAGGTTTCAGAGATTAATAGTTTCCTTAGGAAGTTTCCCCCAATTCTGAGGTCAAAAAAAGAATCCATGTTTTCTTCTACTGCTTCTCTGTTTTCCATTTTTACTTCTAAATCTTTGATCCACTCAAAATGTATTTTAAAATAAACCTTTATTTTAACCCCCAAATGAATTCTACTACCTTTTGTACTAAGAGGTATACATGTCTCCCACTGACTTAAAATGCTACTTTCTCATCAACTAAATTTCTATAGAAATGTAGGTCTTCGTCTCATGTTTTAATTACTGTAGTCTTTATGATACAAAGATGTAAGAGCTATTCCCCTATTACTACTGTTTTTTGGAGATTTCCTTCATATGCTTGACTGCTTATTTTCTCTGACCTTTGGTGACACTTCTAAGTTTGATAGTAATATTTTCGAGACAGCATTTAACATGGATTAATGGAGGCCAAACTAACACTTAGCTAATGTTGATTCCTCCTGTCCAAGGATGGGCACATCTAATTTGCAGCATAACTGTGTTGTCATTGCTGCCACTGCAAGTGGACTTTTTTCTGATGAATGTTTGAGATTAGGAAAGCTCTTTCATTTTCTACGTGGTTTTGAACACAGTTACCTTGTTGAATTCTTTTGCCCAATGGTTCTCAGCCTTGAGCCTGTGTCAGAATCACCTAGAGGATTTCTTAAAATTAAGACTCTACTCCCAGGGTTTCTGATTCAGTAGGTCTGGGAAGGGACCCAAAAATTTACATTTCTAATAAACTCCCAGTTGAGTTCTGTTTTGGCACGCATGGTTTCCTTCTTTTTGTTTCCAGAATCATTGGCGTATCATTGACATGCAACATTGTGTAAGTTTAAGATGTACAATGTGTTGATGATAGCTATTATGATTGCAGATCTGGAAATAAGGATAATTTCCCTACTCTTCAGTTTCTAAGCCTTTTATTTCCTTTTTCTTGACTAATTGTATCAGCAAATACTTTCAGAACCCTAATAGTAGTGATACATCCTTTTTATTTGACTTTAATGGAAATGCATCTAGTCTTTTATCATTAAGCATGATTCTGAGTTTTGTTCAGAGCTGTTTCAGATTTTTTTTTCATGTAAAGAGTTTCTCTCAAGAATAGATGTTAAATTTTATTTATTTATTTTGGTAGTTATTAAAAAGGAATACCAAATTTGTAGGGTTCCAAATGCTGAGTGACACATCCATAGAGACCCACGCATCTCTGAAATAAAAGGGTTTATTGAGCCTTTATAGATGCAGCCACGTAAGGACTTAGACTTGGGCCAGTTTCTGCTTTACCAACAGCAAGGCCAGTTAACAGAAATAACTTGTCTGCCAGACTCAAGAAATGGGACATTTATAAGGGGTCTCAAGGAAGGGAAGCTCTTTCAGTTCACATCAGCTACAGATAAGGAAGGTGAGTGAACGCCAAGCAGGGTAAGTCCGGGGCTAGGTGACCAGTCCACAGAGAAGTTCACGGATTGGTTGATGATGGTCGACACTGTTCGCGCACACGAGGGATGCAGTGTCTCTGGGAACCTTCTAGGTGATTGTTGAAATGACGTCATCCAGGAACATGGAGCTTCTGGTTGGCTACAGCCCATGGCTCTTGACCGATGACCTTCCCTTCTCTTTCTCCCCTATTCTCTGGCCCTATGTCACTTAATTTTAGGTCATCTCAGAACTTTTCCTTTTCATGAGTCACCTCTGTGTTTTCCTGTCATCCTTCCATGTGTTCATTTGTCGGGCCAGGGTTAGCAATTGTGCAGCAGTGTGTATACATGAGTGGCTCTGTGGTGGGTTTGGTCAAATTTTATGTAAGTCATGCTTTAAAGTAGTGCTGGCCTTACAAAAATAATATAGGACCTTCCCCTTTTGTAGGCCCTAGAAAATGCAAATGAAAGGCCTTCCTTAAAGTGTGAGTAAAATTTATCTGGTACTTTTTGGCTTGGTGGGCAAGGACGGGGTTGACTCTTGATAACCACTTCCGTTTCTTTTATCATTGGGGTTGTTTTGAATCTGCCGAGATTAGTTCTGATGATTTTTACATTTTCTTGGTAAATTTCCCATTTTAAGTCTTCAAATTAATTTACGTAGAATTGACAAAACATTTGAAATCTTCGGTAGTTTTTTTTCCCTCATTTTGTGTGTTTCTACGAATTGTTCTTAAATTAAATTTGCTTTATACTTTCCTCCTGCTTGTTTTGCTTTCTCAAAATCTTCAAGTTGGTTAAGTTACTAAATAAAAGAGAACAAAAGTAAGTGAGTGAAGAGCTGTTACTGTTCTGAGCTCTGCTCTGCTCAGCGGTGCTGCCTGGATTCTGCCAGGGGCGTGTTCATGCTTAGCTTCTAGATCGGCCACAGCTTTTATTATCTCCACTTGGACCCAAGAGTTGGGAAATACCGGTTTGCTGAAGTATTTCCTACAAATTCTGTTGCTCATTTTTGGTCTTACTGAGCGGTGACTAGGGAGATCCACTGGACACGGTTTTTGAATTCAGTCTGTGTCCTTCCATGTGGCCAGTTAGAGTCTCCCAGTGAATTTTCGGTGTGTTTTCCCCTATTCCCCAGACTGTGTTCTGTACATCTGGCTGTTGCGGTGCATGCCCAGGGCTCTCCGATATTCAGTGGCGATTATGTCTGGTTAAATGCCCTTCTTTGTCCCACTTAATGCCTTTGGCCTTGATTTTAATCTTGCTTGAGGTTAACAGTATCATCTCTGCTGTGTGTGTTGTCGTTTAGATTTGCCTGGCATGTTTAAGTTCAGTTTTTGAGTTTCTTTCCTTATAAACTTTATTTGGAAATAATTTTGGATTGACATAGAAGTTGCAGAAATAGTACGGAGTTCCTGTGTACCTGTTACCCTACTTCCCCTAATGAAAACCTCTGACTTAGCCATAGCAGGATCGTCACCACAACCGGGCAGTCGGCGTTGGCACAATACTACAAGCCAACAAGAGTAGAACGGATTTGACCATCACCAGTTTTTCCACAGTACATGGGTTTAGGCAAACTTGAGGCTTGTTGCAAGCATATCAATAGATCCTGGTTCCTTTGTTTATTACTTTTTAAGGGGCAGCATAGTCTTTGGGCCAAACCCTGAGGAGGGAGAGGGGCGGCAGGAAGTGCCCCTGCCTCAGAGCAAAGCCCGCAGCCAGCTGTGTGTGGGGCATGATTGGGCCTTTGACTCTCAGCGTTGGCCAAGGTTGGCAGGGCTGTGTGGATACCGCCCCTGTCCCAAAGGTGTCTCCTCCGGCTGCCCACCCGCCCCCTGTTCTTCTGCAGGGACGGCACATGTGTCTCTCCTCATTTAAGTCTTTGAGGGGGTGGGGGCAAAGAGGAACATAGGGACCTCCCCCACCCCACCCCCAAGCCTGGGCATCTTACTTTGGAGGAAACTGGACTCTGCCTGGGAGCTACAGGGGTCCACTCTGACCTTCCTCCCCCTGGTCTGGCCCAGGTGTCACCACCCAGGTAGCCAATCTCACAGCTACTTGGCTGGGGCTGGGGCTTCCATGTGTCGGCTTGTCCAGGACATGGTGCCCAGCTGTTTGGCCAAACACCCCAGTCTAGATGTTTCTGTGAGAGATCTTTTAGCTGGGATTACCATTTAAATCAGTAGCTTTGAATAAAGCAGACTGCCTGCAAAGGTGGTGGGTCTCATCCATTCAGCTGAAGCTGAGAAAAGCCTGAGATCCCCTGAGAAGAAAGGAATTTGGCCCCAGCCTTGAGCTGCAGCGCTCCTGAGGCTCAGCCTGCCCTAAAGATTCCAAGCTTGCCAGCCCCAGTGATCACAAGAGCCAGTTCCTTAACAAACCTGTCCCCCACCCCTCTCTCCATTCTGTTGGTTTGCCTTCTCTGGAAAACTCTCATAACTGGGGCTCGGGCGGGGGGCGGGGGGTGCAGTGACAGCTGTGGCTTCATTTTCTGAAAGGTGCGATTCCTTTTCTGGCTCTGCAGGGTGGTGTCTTCTGGGCCGCAGACAGAAGGATGGGAGGGAGACCCTCTGCTCTGCCGTCTCTTGAATGGAAGGGCAGGCGTGTTTTAAGACTAGTCTTGGGGACGGTAGGGAGTATTCCGGTTCCTGGCGCTGGAGGGAAGGCCACCTACTGTTCATCCTCAGAAGACGAGGCCTTAACTCTGGCTGTTCAGGGTGTGACTCCCTGACACATACACGGTCCTGGACGCAAAGCCGTGGGCCTCCTGCACGGCATGTGGTTTCCAAACTGGCTAAGTTTTAGGAAAAACACTAAGTCCATCAAAGTAATAATTGGGCCCCTGGCATAGCACATAACAAAAATACTCAAGCCCAGTCTGTGGATGACGGGGTGAGGCCAAGAGGTGACCAGAAGCCCACGTATTCTCACGGGTGGCATGCACTGCTTCGAGCTGTGGCACAAATACTTAGGCAGACATGGTTAATAAAAACCACTGTGATTTAATAAATAGCGAGGTGTCTCTGTGCGGCTCCTCATGGGCTGTCCCAGAGCCCAGGGGGGGACAGCAAAGGAGGGACAGGTGCAGGCTTGGGCCCGAGCCGCTGCGTTTTCCCGAGAGCATGTGAGTGACCTAACGCTACTGTCCTTAAAACATCCCTCTGAGAGGGGCTAGGGAAGGGCCACAGTCACATAAAAACGTACATTGTTTGGGGACGTCTTGTGGCCGGGGCCACTACACGGCTTCGTGGTGGAGCTGGGTTTTCGTGGCTCTGGAACAGAATTTTTCACATAGTTTGAGAAGCTCCGATAAAATGAACACAGATGACGCCAATCCAGTTAAAAGCAACAAATCTGTGAACAGGTGATGAGAAAGGGGTCAGACACAGATTTAGTCCCCTGACCCCCAGCCCCGCATCACCCAGGGGTCTGCCAGGCAGCTGGCAGGGAGCTCTGCTGGGGAGGTCCTGCCCCAGGCCTCATCCTGAGCTGCGGAGAGGCGAGGGCCGGGACCCAGGATCCAGAATGCAGCAGAACCGGCTCCACAAGGACCTGCTGGTCCCTCCAGCGGCTCAGAGCCCACGTGGAGTCTACGCACACCTACGCACACCTGGCATTTGTCAGATCGGCTAAGCCGCCTTCATTCCCATTGCATGGAAACGCCCGCTACATTTTTTTTATTCTCTTGTTCGCACCTGCAGCGCAGCCACAGGTGACCCACATGGAGACTGCTTGTTAGATTCTGGGGAAGAGCTGACTTTCCATCTTGCCCAGGGGTTTTTAGCCCCCTTGTCTCCACACCTCAGACCTGAAGCACCATCCTTGGGGATGGGTGGGCCACAGCCCAGCCCGCTGCTTGGGGGCTGCCTCACCGGACCCCAGTGGGAAGTCTGGGCCTGAAGGGAGGAGAGGGGTCGTGCCCCCTGCAAGTTGCTCATGCTAGCTGCTCTCAGGTGGTCTCCCCCCTGCCCCCCCCCCTCCGTCTCCCTTGCTCTGTCATTGCAGCCTCCTGCCAAGGAGGCCAAGCCGGCGGAGCAGCTGTCAAAGAATTTGGCTGTGCAGGAAGCCTGGGTGAGGGTGGAGGGAGCTCCACAGCAGGGCGTGCACACTCAGGCCCCCAAGAGCCCCGTCTTTAATCCCTGCCTTCAGGGAGGTGGGTGTCCATGCCATACTGGCCCGTGAAACCCAGCCCACTGCCACTGGGGGCTAATGTGCTCCGAGATTGGGGCGCTGGCCTCTCAGGCTCTGAGCCCAGACTCCTCCCTGAGGAGCGCCCAGTCCTCACCGTATGCCCTGTCTGTTCCCTGAGCCCCCAGTCTCCCAGGGCCCAAGCCCCCTTCGGCCCTGGTGGAGGTGCCTCATCCTGTGGTTCTCTGTGTCCTCCACGCCCCATTCACTGCCTCCCACTGTGTGGATGCCCCAGCACCAGTCCCTTGAGCACAGGACGGGCCCACGCAGGGCCTCTGCACCCAGAAAGCTCTGCAGCTTCAGGGCACGGGTGGGCAGGTGGCATGTGATGGCCCTGGTCTCCGCGGACCCCTCCCTGGGTCTCCTCCTCACCGAGGGCTCCCAGGTTCTCTGTCTGGAAGACCTTCTGCAGGGGCGGGATGTAAATCACAGCCAGCTGCCCCAGAATGGACCCGAGCACCGAGTAGAGGAACATGGGGTTCCGCAGAAAGCCTATCTCCAGTATCAGCTTGGTCTGCAGAGGGAAGGGCACATGTTGGTGGGCACACAACTGGCCGCAGATGCCTGCGTGGAAGCGGTGCCCCCGGGGCTCGGGCAGCAATCTCTTCCTGACCACACGGCTCTGCAGGGAAGGAGGATGGGCATCCAGGGCAGCTGGGCCTCACCTGAGAGCGGCAGGTCAGGGCGTTGAAGAGGTCGAAGAGCACGAAGCAGGTGAAGGTCATGGTTGTGGTGCGTGGGGTGCTCGCCTTGTCTTCGGGGATCTGGAACAGAAGCGTGCAGGATGAGGGTCCAGTGCATGGGCTTCCCTGGGACAAACCTGTCCTTAACCGAGAGCACGAGGACCTGGCAGGATTCTGCAGAGCAGGCCTGTAATCACTGCTCCTGTGTCCACACCTCCCTCAGGCTTTAGTCAACTGGGGTGCCCCAGAGGTGGGTCCCCACGCCTGGGAGGGGCCGCAGCCTGGGTATCTCTGGCAGTGACACTGTCTCCTGGACTGGCACTGTTACAGTCACACCCACTTCCTAGCAGGCAGGCAGAAGGGTACCCACTTGAGGGAGAGCTAGGCTGAAGGGGCACCCCCTCCCTGGCTCTGTACCTCCCAGGGTCAGGTATGTGCTGGCTGACTTCACAGTGGTGGGGCTGGAGCCCAAGGTAAGGACATGCAGGGAGAAGGTTCTGGGCCAACAGCTGTCACTTCCCACAGCCTGAGAGGCAGGGATGAGCCCTCTGGCCCAGGCAGTCTTTACCATCCCCACCTGCGCTTTCCTGGGGGACCGGCGTTCCTCAGTAGACCCCAGGGCCGTGTTAAACTGAGCCTGACTCAGCAGCTCCTGGGCTGCATTTCTTACAGGCTCTGGGACCCCATGCTGGGGACCACTGAGTCAGCACAGGATGGGGTGTCTCTCCTTCCAGGAGGCTGAGCACTTGGGGGGGGACCACCACCTTCCTGGGAAGGTGAGAATTGGGGTAACAGCAAAGCCTTCCCTCTTGGGGCTGACTAGGGGCTCCAGGAAAACAACCGGTGGATGTCCCTGTCACATGCCTCCTCCTGCAAGTGGGCCATCTGGGGCTTAAACATGGACAGGTCACCTGCCTCATCTTCCATCTAGATCACTAATGTCCTGGCAAAGGGGCCCCCCGACCCTGCAGGCCATGGTAAGCTGACCCACAGTAAGACCTGCAAACTTCACCTCCAGGGAAAGATGAGAATATTTTTTAGTAGATTTCAAAATGTTCCCTAGCGACATCTAGAAAAAAAGTCTGTATTCTTTCCTCTGTCTGCGGCCTCAGTCCTTCCTCCCCATCTGGCCTCTGCCAGCCCTCCCCTGCGTCCCACTGCACACATACGGGTCTCCCCAGTGGAACCTGAGGCCCTGGGGCCAGGACTGCCCACTGTGCTTTGCACATTCCCCCAGCCCCACATCTCCCACAACACAGGCATCTCAAGATGAGCCGGCAAGGCCTCCCTCACCTCCTTCCAGAAAATAAAGAGAGTGCCGCTGATGATGACCACGGCCGACAGGAGGATTTTCAGGATGAGGGCTCTGCTCAGGATTGTGTCCTTGACTTTCCTTGGTGGCTGCCGGAGGGTGTCTTTATCAACCGGCTCTACCCCCAAGCTGCTCAGAAGGAGAGACAGGATGCTTTGAAATCAAACACCAAGGAAGGTGGTTTCCCGAACGTTGTGTGGCAGTTACTAAGTACGGATGTGGAAGGGGAGATGCACTTGTCAGCATCAAAGGCCAGCTGGGAAGGGGCTTTGGCCAAGCACCTCCAGGTTGTCCCAGGTGAGCCCATAGGTTCTGCAGACCTAACTGCCCAGGTGTCCCAGGGGTGCCCCCAGAGCCTGGAGCCGAGGACCTGCTATCAACCGACTCCAAGACAGCAGGATGGTGCTAGACCCATGGTTGCCAGTGTGGGGGCACTGAGTGGTGGGTGGGTTGGGAGAGACCCTGCTCCCGGGGAGACTGTTAGAGAGGTGACCCCCTACTGGACGTGGGGGCACAGAACAGGATGCTTGCCCTCAACAGCTGTCACTGTTAGTTAAATTAGTAGCAGGAGTCAGTTAGCCACTTTGGAAGGGCACGTACTGTGTGCTCGGTGAGGTACCCTGCTTCTTCAGGCAGGTCCCTCCTGCTCCTGCACCATTCAGCCGGCCAGACACTCCCTTCTCACTCACCCACTCATTCATTCACCCAGCAGACAACTTACTGAGTCCCTAGCATGTGCCAAGCACTGTTGTTAGAGGAGGGGTCCTGCAGGGAATAAAACAAAAGCCTTGCCTTCGTGGCCTCCGTGAAGCTGATATTCTCAAGGGGAAACTGATTGTAATCAGATAAACAAGAAAATATATGTATATTTTCCCCTCTAGGGAAAAATAAAGCCAGGCAAGGGACTGAGAATGAGAAGGCTGATGGTAATCAGGGAAGACTTCTTGGAGGCAGTGACCTGAATGACAAGAGGGACTGGGCCATGCAGGTAGCCGAGGCAGAGCATTCCAGGCAGTGGGGCAGAAAGTCCTGTCGTGCCCTGCCTGCCCTGCCTGGCCAGGTGCTTCCTGCTGGTGCAGCACATTCCATTCCCTCCTCACCCTCCGGCCCCACTGTGCTATAATCGTTTTCTGGGACTCCTTGGGGACAGTGACTGTGTTTGCCCACTGCTATAGCCACATGCCCTGCATGGCACACCTGGCGGAAGTGGCACTGTGGGTGTTGGCAGCCGGCCCCGGGCCTCACCTCTGTGCGGGCGGCCCGTCCATGATGATGTTGACCCACAGGATCTGCATGGCGTTAAGGGGACTGGGCAGATTGCACACAGTGGACAGCGTGATGAGGCTCAGGGCCGAGATGCTCCTGCGGGGCACACACAGGGCACATGGATGGCTGCTTGCTGACACACAGCACCCAAGGCCCTGCAGACGCTGGCCGCGCAACTTACGTGCTCAGCTGAAATCGGACGAAATTTTTGATGTTATGAAAAATCCCCTTGCCTTCCTCCACTGCATTCCTGCAGGAGAGAAAGTGTTTACTCACGAAGGGCCGGGCAGGAGGGTTCCGCCGGCTCCATCAGCTGCTGAAGGAAGTGATGCTGTCACCCGGACGGGACACCTTGCTTGGTCCCTGGTTCTCTTTGCTGGCTTTCCTGGGGACACACCCATAGAGGACGACAATGTCCTAACGGGTGCCATTAGCCACTGGGGACTGGTCCCCAAGCCATTATTGCCCTTCTGTCCAGACTGAAAATTACTCCCCCAGCAGGGCTGGGAGACCCCAGCCCTCTCCCAGCACAGGTGACATGCCTAATGCACGTCGGTGATGCATCCGTGACCAGAGCTTTGCACAGAAGGACCAGTTAAACCTGGGACACAGCAGGAAGGGAAGAATCAGAGGGTTAAAAAATCATCTACTAGGCTTTTGAAGGCTCTTTGCAAAAGTCCTTTAGAAAAACTTGATCTTGAGTCATTAAGTGCAGGAAATTGTCTAACCCTTTCTTTTCCGAACTACAAAATTTAGCAAGAGAACGAAAACTGGGGTTATTTAATTGGGTCTTATGACTGCATTTTTTTTTAATTAAGGGAGAAATGGGTTAAGGATTCCTACGGTGAATCCATTTATAAAGCAAAGACTCTTTTGTGAAGTTGGTAATCACACCAAACTTCAATATTTGCCATCTCAGAATTGAGGCATCGGATCCGTGCTAATGATTTAGGCATTTCTGTCTAATCTCTTTCAATGCATGAAATGTACGTATTAGCATAAACACAATGCTAGACTCAAACTGGATGTACTCATTTTTAGCCTTTTTCATGTAGCATTACAGCATGACCATTTCTGTGTCATTAAAATGTTCTTCAAAATATGATATTTAATGGCTTGTAGTATTTCTGGCTCTTGAACGTAGGGTAGTCTAGGAGTTTCACATAAACAGGGTGGCAGCTCACACTGGCATGTGCCTCTTTTTGCACACCTGATCCAGGCCTAAAAGCCATGCTGGGCTGTAAATTAGGATTCTGCTGCACATGTCCATAATATCCCCCTGGGTGCTGGGTGCCACAACCCCAGGGTGGCCCCAGGACCCCGCTTTAGTGGTGTGTGGGGCTGGGGACACCTGCCATGGTGATGAGCCTTAAGCATGCTTCCCAGGGAAAGGATGCAGCCCTCTCGGGGGACTCTTCACCCTCTCCTGGAAGGAGCCCCTTGTATCTCCGGCACATCAGGCCCCGGGAGAAGCTGGTTACCCCAGGCATGTTTGCTACTAAAAAAAACACCAGAGGAGCAACTCACATAATGGCTGAGAAGTCATCATCCACCAGGATCATGTTGGCAGCCTCTTTGCTAACATCGGTCCCCGTCTGCCCCATGGCAATCCCGATGTCCGCCGACTTCAGGGCGACCGCGTCATTCACTCCATCCCCCGTCATGGCCACGATTGCCCCCGACTCCTGCAAAGCCTTTGGAAAGTGGAGGCAAGTGAAGCCTGCAGCCTGGAGACCTAGATCCTTCTGTCCAAACGCCCTGCCTCTTACACTGGCTGGCCGACAGCAGAGGCACCTCTCTGGAGTCAGCTGGCTTGAGTCTGAATCCTAGCTCTACCTGCACTAGCTCTGGGACCTGGGCAAGTCTTGAACCTCTCAACCTCAGTTGCTCCATCTGCAGAGTGGGGGCAACATTTCCTCCTCCTCAGGGCTGTTGTGAGTATAAACCAAGACAAGGATGGTCCTCAGCACCTAGGGAAGGCTCGTGCATGGTGTCCATCATCACTTACAAATGGCAGTTAGTAGCTTGTCCCCCGAAACCATACAGTGCCCCAAAGTGTGTTTTCTTTTGAGAAATTACTTGCATAGAGATTTATTCTGTAGAACTAAAACACTCCAAAAAATAATGTAAAAGAAAAAAACACAACAGAATTAAAGGGCAGATTTTCAAAGTATACACATGTTTGCAGGACTCTCATTCTATATTGGTGGGTTTATTTTTGATGCAGAGTCAGAAAATCACATTAGCTCTTTCATGGACACCTGCTGGGTGCCAGGCACTGTGCCAAGAGCCTCACAGGCCTCGTTTCTTTAGTCCCCCGGCCAACCTTGTGGATTAGTTGATGTCATTCATACTAGCCCTATTTTACAGATGAGGAAACTAAAGCCTGGAATTAAATAATAGGATCAAAGAGCACTTGACTAGTGAGGTTAGCCTCTCTTTATTTTTCCTTTCACCCCCAATTCCCACTCCCTATTTTCAGTGTACTTGGCAAAGGACCCCCAGGTGCCCCTTCCCCAGAGGCTGGGAAAGCCCACCCCTGGTGCAGCTGCCCTGCACCCAGAAAGCCACAGTTTGAAGACAGCCAAGGCTCCCATGAACAAGGGCCCGGGACCACTGCACGGAGTGGGCCTGTTACCCCGCCCTGCACCTGGACCATGGGGCATGCGGCGTACCTTAATGATTTTGAGTTTGTGCTTTGGACTGGTCCTGAAGAAGACAGACACCTGCATCCAGAGACACGAAGAGCAGAGTCAGTGGACACGGAGCTGGAAACTCACCCCCTCAGCCCTTCCCCATGAGCCCTTGTAGGGACCCCACCTTCCCAACATGGTCGGCCAGCTCTCCCTGCTCCATGCTGTCCACCTCTTCCCCAGACATGGCCTTCAGCTTCCCGTTGCACAAGCCGATGTTCCTTCCTGTGTGGGAGGGAGACTCCATTCCGAGGGTGTGCTTCGAGGCACAAGCCTCAGATCCCTGTCCCTACCCCTCATTCTGTCTTCTTAGTATCAGTCCCTGCCTTGGCCACAGAGAATTACAAGCCTGAAACCACGATGACTGCCTTTTATTGAGTACCTGCTATGTTACATGCTCTTGATTCCATCCATGGAATTGAGTTGCACAGAGGCCTTATTATCCCCACTTTAAAGATGAGAAAACTGAGGGGGAAGTGACTTCCCCAAGGTCATGGGAGCTGGGCAGTGGTACACTGGAGCCTGACAGGGTGTCGTCTGATTCTAGAGTCTGTCATCTTTTCACAGGCCCAGGCTGCTCAAGCCAGAGGGGGAAGAAAACCAAGGGGTGACAGCCTTCATGACAGTAGTGAGTGGTAGGAGGGTTGCCAGCCCTCCGCTGATGAAGAACCTGAAGGTCAGAGTGGTTCAGTGATTTGCCAAGGACATGCAGCTAGTGGCAGAAGCCAGACTAGAACTGTAAGAACGGTATATGGGGGTGCTGCCTGTGAAGATGATGTGAGGTGGTGGAGGAAACCCCCGGCGCACAGTGGGGTCTCAGTGCACGTGGGTTCTCTCCCCCTTTTGGAGAACCTGCTAACATGCTACAAACACCTTGGAAGGTGAAGTGCTGGTGCCCAAATGTCAGAGTCTTCTCTAAGCACTCAGAAGGTAGGTGTGAGCACTCTTGACCAAGTCTGTCGGAGGTTCACCAGGGGTGGGGACACCTCCACAAAGGATGGGAGACCCTTCCCTGCCCAATCCCCTAGTCACCTATGGCCACGGCGGTCTCCAGAGCATCTCCCGTTATCATTTTGACAGACACGCCCGATTCAGACAGGACCTGCACCGCTTCCTTCACGCCAGCCCTCGGAGGGTCGATGATCCCAACCAGACCCAGAAACGTCAGACAGCCCAGCTCCGAGCCAGAGGCCAGGGCCAGCACTGAGGAGAGAGCCAAGCACAGGAGGTTAAAGGGGCCGAGGGGACCGCTGTCCGTCCCGGCAGCCCTGGCCCAGGTCCCAAGCCCTCTCTGCCTGTGAGGGGCTTGGGCAGCCGGTTCCCAGCCCGCAGAGCCAAGGCAGAGCTCCTCCCCATCGTCAGGCCCGTGAGGGCAGCAGCTCCAGGTGGCCTGTCCACCAGGGAGCCACACTAGGGACCATGTGCCCCGCGGAGGGTAAGGCCCTCGTCCAGGGCGGCGTGAAGGCCCAAGCCTGCCACACAAGAGAGGCTGGGGGATGGCATGGGTGGGCCGTTTGTGACAGTCCTTGCCTCCCGTTGGCTCTGCCCTCATGGTGCCGCCCTTCATAGCAACAGGTAAGGACACATTTCCGGGGCAACCCCAGTGGGGGCAGGGGCAGGGTGGGGGTGAGCTGGGGAGGGGTGCCTCTGCTGGCTTCCCTGGCCTCGACTCTCAGTGGCATGGAGGCTCCTGGGCATGAGCGCTGAGAGCGGGTGGACTGGCCTTACCTTGTCACCTGCCCGATTCAGAGGGTCGGCGGAGGGGAGGCCCCAGCCGCACCCCTGCTCAGTCCCACACTGCCTCTAGCAGGGCGCCGTCCTCCTCGTCCCACAGCCGCCCTCCCACCCCGGGGGGCTCGGCTGTGTCTCGGCCAGCGGCTGTGTCCGCACCCCGTGCACCCCTAAGCACGAGGTATAATTCCTGCTCCCGGAAGGGGAAAACCGAGGCAACTGAGACCAGTATGGGAAGCCCACCCCTTCTCATTGTCCCAGGGGAACACAAGTGTTCCGGGGGGCTTGAAACACGCTCTCTGAAAACGGACAGGTTGACAAATGACGCTCTGGGAAGCTTGGGTTGTAATGTTCAGCTCGGCAGGGAAAGCATCGGCCCTGGTGCAGAAAGTTGGAAATGGCCCAGGAACGAAATGTCTGCCTTGATCTAGAAGGGCGCTGGGTTTTCCTGACAGCAAGGTGAGCGGGAAGACCAAGCCAGAAAATCGACGATCCTGGCGTGTGTCGTTCTCCTGCCTAGGGAGCCCGGGGCCGGGGGTGGGGCGGGGCGGGTTCCTCCTCTCCTCACGCACACGAACCACATCTGGACTCACGGGTGTCGTCCAGGGGCTGGGATGGGGCTCCCTGTCTTCCATCTGACCGTACAGTCCCGTGCTTGCTTTACTTCCATTACCACCACCTGCCTGCCATTCTGATTGGTCACCTTATTCATAAGGGCCCTGCATTAACACGCTTGAAAAGTCAGGGTCACACACGAATTTCAGGCTCAGGGCCGGGACGCCAGCACTGACCCCGCAGGCCGAGCGACCCCATCTTCTTCTCCTCCTGCTGGCAGAGGGACCTCTGCTGGGGCGTCAGTGGCAGGGGGATGCCACCGTTGTTGTACATGGTGCAGTAACGGATCACTTCCTCAAAGGCCCCCTTCATGAAGTAAATGTCTTCCCGCTCCTTGGAAGGGACAAAAAGGAAAACCCCACTGTCATGGCTGCCCCGGCTCGTGGGGACCGTCGCCTCATCCACACCCACATCGGGGTTCTTTACTCTGGATGTTCACAGTATAGGGCAGGTCAGATAAGCCACAGGACATCCACACAGTGGACCCCCATGGAGCCCAGAAAGGAAGGAGGCCAATCCTGACCCGAACGCCCCCCGCTCCCCATCCTCGTGCGAACAGCATCGCTCAGAGCCTCTGGGGCAGTGAGTGCCTTCAGGTGCACGATTGCCAGATGTCTAGTTCAGTTAGATCGGGGCCTCCCGAGGCTGGGTACCATCTCTATTTCGTCTGCCTCTGCACTTGGCTGCTAAGAATGCACCCAAATGAGCAGCTGACTGTTTCCTGTGTCTGTTAAGCTCTGCCTCCCCTAGACTGTAAGCCCCACATAGCAGGTGCCATGTCAGCTGTATCCCCAGCATCCACATGGCACCTACCAGCTCACAGTGGGCAGGGAATGAGCTTGTATGAACTGACATGGAAAGATGTGTAAGACATCATTTTAAGAGAAAAATGCCAATTACAAACACTATATAAAGCATGACCTTGTTATGAAACTACCACCCCATGTCTTGCTGTGCACATTTAAAACTTGGAATACTCTGGCCCAGACTGCTAAGGTTACCTTGGGTAGGTGGGTGTCAGAAGGGAAAAGAGATGGAGCTATAAGGAGCTTCCATTTTTTTACATCACATTTCCATAATAATATATTATCATTGCCTTTGGGTAGTAAAAAAATGAGTCGAAGGTATTAGAACATTAAAAAAAATCTATAACCCTTTTTAAGCATAAAAAATTCATACACCCATCCACTTGCAACAAAGTCCTGGAATGAGCTGGCCATGCCACCCCCTCCCAGAATGAGAGACCACAGATGCGCCTTTGCATGGGCAAAGGGCGGCAGATTCCAGGAGGAGTGGGGAAGAAGCAAAGGGTTGCAGGAAAAGGTGGAAGGCAATAAAAGACTTATTTTTTTTAAAAAAAGGTCTTCATTGTAGAAAATCTGAAAAGCTACAGAAAATTTTAAAAGAAAGAAAGAAAGAGACAGAGAGAGGGAAGGAAGGGGGGAAGGAAGGGAGTCAGCTGTGATCCCCACCCAGGGAAAGCCGCTGATATTTGGTTATCTATTCCTCCAGTTACTTACAAGGTGCACACACGTGTGTGTCCATGTGTGTATGTGTGAGCTCACTGTTCACACCGTTTGTGGTGGATGCTGGGATGAGCCTCCTAGACCCCCTTCGGGACTCCCAAGGTAGCATCGGGGGGTCCATGGCACCCGCAGGGACATGGAGTTGCTCCAGTAGTAATTACTCACTAACTACATCCCAGGCCAGTGAGTCTCACGCTCGGGCGCACACCAGTAAAACCCCCAGCACACAGAGTCCTGGCTCCCACCTCTGGAGTTTCTGATTCAGGAGTTCTAGGGTGGAGCTGGAGAATCTGCATTTCTATAAATTCCCCAGTATTGCTGATTGATGCCTGCTGGTCCAGGGACCTCAATTTTTGAGAAGCGCTGTTTCAGATAAAGTTCTAAGAAGAGAACCGCATATAGCCAAAGGTTTGATCGCTATCTGCTGTATTTTCACGTTTTTGGAACCTCACAGAAGGAGCTAAACGCTAAGCTGAGCCTGCATCTTGCTTTCGGTTGGCAGGAGGCGCGGGAAGGGGCAGAGAAGCACACGCACCTCGCTCTTGGGGCTGCATTTTACCGCCATCCACTTCTGCTCCGAACTGAATGGAATCTCTTTTCTTCTCACGTATGAATCTTTAATATTGCTTAAGCCCATCTAGGATAACAGAACAAGATACTTTCAGTGAGTCATCCTAAACCAATCTCAATGCAAAGCTCAGCCCATTTAAATTATTGAATACTCAAACCCTCTCTGGCAGACAGGAAGCCAAGCATTTAGCTCACAGAGGAAGGCCCCATGCTTTCCAAACTCCCACTGGGAAAAAAATGGCCCTTCTGTTGTTCCAGGGGCAGAACCAGATGGTCTTTGCAACAGCTTCTTGCTGAAACCTGTTTAGTAACAATCGCCTGCGGGGTTTCTGCCAGGAGGAATGTTTCAGACCTGAAGATGCAGCAATTTCCCAGAAAGGAGCCCCTGGCTTAGTGGACGGCCTGTTGGTACAGCTGGGATCCTTGCCAGGCCCGACATTCACTGACAGGTTTCAGGCCAGGTACTTGCCATCTCCGAGCCTCAGTTTCCCCAACTATAAACCAGTCCTAACCTGTGTGTCCCACTGTCCTGCAAGGGGTGAAAATAGGTTCTTAGAGGGTGGGAAAAAGAAACCTCCTTTTCTGCGTAAAGCACAGATACGAATACAACACATATATACACAGCGTATCTGTGACATTAAATCTCATAGGGAGAGTAATGAAGACAAAAGGCTCCTTAGGAGGGTGTTATGGGTTGCGTTGCACCCCTCTGAAAGATGTGTTGAAGTCCTAACCCTTCCGACCCCACTGGTACCCGTGAATATGACCTTATTTGGAAATAGGTTCTTTGGAGATATAAGGAAGTTGAGATGAGGTCATTGGCATGGGTCCTAATCCCATGTGACTGGTGTCCTTGGAGGCTGAGGTCAGAGCGGCGTGTCCCCAAACCAGGGAAGGCCTGGTGTGCCAGCCAGAGCAGAGGGGATGGCCGGGCTCACACCTTGCCTTTGGACTTGTGGCCTCCAGAACTGTGAGCGAATGTATTTCTGGTTTTCTAACCACCGAGGTTATGGAACTGCATGGCGGTGCACTAAGAAACCAGGGAGGAAGCAGTGATGGAGAAAAGGTAGGAAGCTTGGGCCCGAGCCCTCGGGTGCTGGACGGGAGGTAGTAAGCGCAGGGCTCAGCTCCGTGTAGGCACATGGAAGCACTTAATATATGTCAATCATTACCTATTTTATTCTAAAAGGAATAGTCTGAAATCCCAAACCAGGCCCCCTCAACAGTTTAGGCCAACGAAAGAATTAATTCATGATATGTAAAGGGAAGGGGGGTTCTGGAAAGCCTGTTCCGGACAGGCTGCATGCTGCCAGCAGTGGAAGCAGGGCAGGGGACCTTGCACGGGTTTGCTCCTGCAGTGACGTGAGGCTGGCTCTGCTCTGTTTTAAAGGGACATTGCTTCCGTTTGGTCTTGCTGACATTCTCCAGAGACTTTGTCTCCATGTGGAGAAGAATACAAAACCTTGCGCACCTGCCCGTGGGCTGACCAAAGAGGCCCCCTCTCCCCATTTGCGGCCTGCCCAGAACTGTCTTCTGGAGCCTCACAGGCCAAGGGCAGAAGGCAGACACGGGGGCCTGGAGAGGGACAGGTAGACAGAAGGAGGCGGGACAGTGGGACACCTGAAGCCAGCCGTCTGTGTGAGCTTGGAGACTGAAGTGAACTTGAAGAGGAAATCCCAGTTGGCTGTGAGAGGATGGGCAGGTGGAGGCTCATGGCCGGGAGGCGGCCTGCGGAGCTGGGCATGGCTGGGAGTGGGCAGAGGGTGGCCGCAGACAGGCAGTGCAATTTTGCCTTGATGGGGAGTCTGAGCAGACCCCTCCTGTTATCTGTCCCTGTGCACAAAGTGGAGCCGGCCATCCACCCATCCCTCCCACACTCGTGGGCCTTGCTCTGGTCCTGGCACCACCAGAGGGGGCAATTCTTGGGCACAGAGCTCACAGTCTAATGGTTGAGCCAGAATCAAGGGGAAGCTCAAAAAGGAGGCAGACCCTGGGCAGGGCCTCGGTGAGAGCAGGCCTGGGTGGGGGCCCCTAGGTGGGTCTTGTTCCTCTGTCTCCCTGATACCTCCACGGGGTCTGAGCCATGGGGGGGCAGAGGGGATTCTTAGGGGGTCCCAGGCAGGGGTGAGACCTGCAGAATGTCCTGGAGCCACACAGCCCCTCAGAGCCCCACTGCTTCCTCCAGCCGGCAGTCGGCCTGAGGAGGTCTGGGCCACTTTCTCCCACCGTCACTGACCTCCTCGCCCCCCAGCCACTCAGATGGGGGCTGCAGTCTGCTACCAGCCGGGCTCCGAGTGAAGGCCGCCCGCTGGCCCGGCGGCCATGCCTACCTTCATTGCCAGGGCGACCAGGGCGCCTTCCGTGGGCTGTCCCAGCACGGCGTTCTTCCTGATAATGGTGTTGTTGGCCACGCAGCCTGCCTGGAAGGAGGGTTCCCAAATGTCTGGTTAAAAGCCCACGGGGGCCTGGGCTCGCTCAGGCAATGCGCAAGGCAGACACCGAAGGCTTGGCCCGTTTTGGGGGCTGGGGTCGGGGACAAGATTTCCTCTTGCAGTACATCAGAATCCCTGCTCCTCAGAACAAACACAGCAAATATTTGATGGCTAACACCGTCGGAAGGTGGCTTGGGACGGCAGGTGGGCTGGTGGACACAGGTGTGGGGTGACGGGTGACCGCCCACAATTACGGGTGACAGAGTGTCCTGGAGTTAGATGTTGTGATGGCTGCACTTTGTGACTGTCGAAAATGCACTGAAGTGTATACTTTAAAAGGGGGACTTCCATGGCAAAGGTAGCATCGGGGGGTCCATGGCACCCGCAGGGACATGGAGTTGCTCCAGTAGTAATTACTCACTAACTACATCCCAGGCCAGTGAGTCTCACGCTCGGGCGCACACCAGTAAAACCCCCAGCACACAGAGTCCTGGCTCCCACCTCTGGAGTTTCTGATTCAGGAGTTCTAGGGTGGAGCTGGAGAATCTGCATTTCTATAAATTCCCCAGTGTTGCTGATTGATGCCTGCTGGCCCAGGGACCTCAATTTTTGAGAAGCGCTGTTTCAGATAAAGTTCTAAGAAGAGAACCGCATATAGCCAAAGGTTTGATCGCTATCCGCTGTATTTTCACGTTTTTGGAACCTCACAGAAGGAGCTAAACGCTAAGCTGAGCCTGCATCTTGCTTTCGGTTGGCAGGAGGCGCGGGAAGGGGCAGAGAAGCACACGCACCTCGCTCTTGGGGCTGCATTTTACCGCCATCCACTTCTGCTCCGAACTGAATGGAATCTCTTTTCTTCTCACGTATGAATCTTTAATATTGCTTAAGCCCATCTAGGATAACAGAACAAGATACTTTCAGTGAGTCATCCTAAACCAATCTCAATGCAAAGCTCAGCCCATTTAAATTATTGAATACTCAAACCCTCTCTGGCAGACAGGAAGCCAAGCATTTAGCTCACAGAGGAAGGCCCCATGCTTTCCAAACTCCCACTGGGAAAAAAATGGCCCTTCTGTTGTTCCAGGGGCAGAACCAGATGGTCTTTGCAACAGCTTCTTGCTGAAACCTGTTTAGTAACAATCGCCTGCGGGGTTTCTGCCAGGAGGAATGTTTCAGACCTGAAGATGCAGCAATTTCCCAGAAAGGAGCCCCTGGCTTAGTGGACGGCCTGTTGGTACAGCTGGGATCCTTGCCAGGCCCGACATTCACTGACAGGTTTCAGGCCAGGTACTTGCCATCTCTGAGCCTCAGTTTCCCCAACTATAAACCAGTCCTAACCTGTGTGTCCCACTGTCCTGCAAGGGGTGAAAATAGGTTCTTAGAGGGTGGGAAAAAGAAACCTCCTTTTCTGCGTAAAGCACAGATACGAATACAACACATATATACACAGCGTATCTGTGACATTAAATCTCATAGGGAGAGTAATGAAGACAAAAGGCTCCTTAGGAGGGTGTTATGGGTTGCGTTGCACCCCTCTGAAAGATGTGTTGAAGTCCTAACCCTTCCGACCCCACTGGTACCCGTGAATATGACCTTATTTGGAAATAGGTTCTTTGGAGATATAAGGAAGTTGAGATGAGGTCATTGGCATGGGTCCTAATCCCATGTGACTGGTGTCCTTGGAGGCTGAGGTCAGAGCGGCGTGTCCCCAAACCAGGGAAGGCCTGGTGTGCCAGCCAGAGCAGAGGGGATGGCCGGGCTCACACCTTGCCTTTGGACTTGTGGCCTCCAGAACTGTGAGCGAATGTATTTCTGGTTTTCTAACCACCGAGGTTATGGAACTGCATGGCGGTGCACTAAGAAACCAGGGAGGAAGCAGTGATGGAGAAAAGGTAGGAAGCTTGGGCCCGAGCCCTCGGGTGCTGGACGGGAGGTAGTAAGCGCAGGGCTCAGCTCCGTGTAGGCACATGGAAGCACTTAATATATGTCAATCATTACCTATTTTATTCTAAAAGGAATAGTCTGAAATCCCAAACCAGGCCCCCTCAACAGTTTAGGCCAACGAAAGAATTAATTCATGATATGTAAAGGGAAGGGGGGTTCTGGAAAGCCTGTTCCGGACAGGCTGCATGCTGCCAGCAGTGGAAGCAGGGCGGGGGACCTTGCACGGGTTTGCTCCTGCAGTGACGTGAGGCTGGCTCTGCTCTGTTTTAAAGGGACATTGCTTCCGTTTGGTCTTGCTGACATTCTCCAGAGACTTTGTCTCCATGTGGAGAAGAATACAAAACCTTGCGCACCTGCCCGTGGGCTGACCAAAGAGGCCCCCTCTCCCCATTTGCGGCCTGCCCAGAACTGTCCTCTGGAGCCTCACAGGCCAAGGGCAGAAGGCAGACACGGGGGCCTGGAGAGGGACAGGTAGACAGAAGGAGGCGGGACAGTGGGACACCTGAAGCCAGCTGTCTGTGTGAGCTTGGAGACTGAAGTGAACTTGAAGAGGAAATCCCAGTTGGCTGTGAGAGGATGGGCAGGTGGAGGCTCATGGCCGGGAGGCGGCCTGCGGAGCTGGGCATGGCTGGGAGTGGGCAGAGGGTGGCCGCAGACAGGCAGTGCAATTTTGCCTTGATGGGGAGTCTGAGCAGACCCCTCCTGTTATCTGTCCCTGTGCACAAAGTGGAGCCGGCCATCCACCCATCCCTCCCACACTCGTGGGCCTTGCTCTGGTCCTGGCACCACCAGAGGGGGCAATTCTTGGGCACAGAGCTCACAGTCTAATGGTTGAGCCAGAATCAAGGGGAAGCTCAAAAAGGAGGCAGACCCTGGGCAGGGCCTCGGTGAGAGCAGGCCTGGGTGGGGGCCCCTAGGTGGGTCTTGTTCCTCTGTCTCCCTGATACCTCCACGGGGTCTGAGCCATGGGGGGGCAGAGGGGATTCTTAGGGGGTCCCAGGCAGGGGTGAGACCTGCAGAATGTCCTGGAGCCACACAGCCCCTCAGAGCCCCACTGCTTCCTCCAGCCGGCAGACGGCCTGAGGAGGTCTGGGCCACTTTCTCCCACCGTCACTGACCTCCTCGCCCCCCAGCCACTCAGACGGGGGCTGCAGTCTGCTACCAGCCGGGCTCCGAGTGGAGGCCGCCCGCTGGCCCGGCGGCCATGCCTACCTTCATTGCCAGGGCGACCAGGGCGCCTTCCGTGGGCTGTCCCAGCACGGCGTTCTTCCTGATAATGGTGTTGTTGGCCACGCAGCCTGCCTGGAAGGAGGGTTCCCAAATGTCTGGTTAAAAGCCCACGGGGGCCTGGGCTCGCTCAGGCAATGCGCAAGGCAGACACCGAAGGCTTGGCCCGTTTTGGGGGCTGGGGTCGGGGACAAGATTTCCTCTTGCAGTACATCAGAATCCCTGCTCCTCAGAACAAACACAGCAAATATTTGATGGCTAACACCGTCGGAAGGTGGCTTGGGACGGCAGGTGGGCTGGTGGACACAGGTGTGGGGTGACGGGTGACCGCCCACAATTACGGGTGACAGAGTGTCCTGGAGTTAGATGTTGTGATGGCTGCACTTTGTGACTGTCGAAAATGCACTGAAGTGTATACTTTAAAAGGGGGACTTCCATGGCATATAACATACCTCAGTTTAAAACAATGATTAGAAGAACAGAAACAAACACAGGAAGAGTATGGGGGTGAATCCCAGCTGGCGCCCTCACTGGCTGGATGGCCTCAGGCACTCCTGACCCCTCTCTGAGCCCACTCCTTAATCTGCACAGCCAAGGTCCTAGGACTGGCGTGCAGGGGTGCCCTGATAACCCGGGGCCACCATGGAGCTGGGACCTTCACAGGCTCAGTAAACATGGAAGACGAGGGTTCAGACCTGCTGGGGCCTCCGCCAGGTGAGGAGGATGGGGAGCCTGTGACAGGATGAGCAGCGTTACTCCATCAGCAACCGCGATAGGGCGGCATTTACCGTGCCCTGGTTTTCCGACATTCATTGAGCACCCTCTCTGTGCAGGCGACTCCAAGCCCTCCAGCAGGCAGGAGGAGCATGGGGCGCTCTAGCTCTTCTCTCACCTCCACGTTTCCATCTGTTTCTGGGCCACTGGGACAGGCTGATCCCTGGGGGGTGGCCCAGCTGCCCCTGAGAGCCAGTTGATCCAACGGTTGTTGCTCTTCCCAGAGAGAAGCCCCATCAGCTCCATTTTAAACGCACATTTCCATGGCGGCCCGTTGGACACTTACCTCCACTAATTTCCCCACTGAGATGTTGGAAAACTCCTTAATGACTTCCTTCGAGGGTAAAAGACAGACGGCCCCTTTGCCGTTGTATCCAACACCGCTGACCTGCAGGGCAAATCCACACAAAGCTGTCCCTATGTGTCAAAAATATACTCTCCCGGCTGACCCATAATCTCTTGTCTGGGGATCCGTCCCAAGGACACAATCCTACCCAAGAACAAGTCTTTGAGCACGAAGACGTTCCATGCACGATGATGTATTAATCAGAGCACCTCGCTGAGTGCTTCAGTAAGTTGCAGTAGGCTTACTTAGCTGGTAAGCAGCCAGGAAAGATTATGTTAGGAGAATGAAGTAATAGCCTGGCAGGGTGCTTATGTTCCAGAACAGAGGTGAGCAAGCATCTTACAGAGCCAGACAGCAAATGTTTTAGCCTTTGCAGCCCATGAAATCTGTAAGCATGATGCCTCAACTCTGAGGCTGTGGCGGGACAGGAACCGTCAATGCCCTGTAAGCAAAGGCGAGTGGCTGACGAAACATTATTTAGAAAAATTGCGGCTGGCCCTTGAGCTGTCATTGCTGACTCCTTGGTCTGGAAAGTTTTGTGAAAAAAATAGCACGATGTAAACTCCCACATTCAGGGACCTTACAACTGTGCCAGACGCACAGGAGAGCAGCTGAAAAACACAGATGGACCGATCATGGTTAGTTATGGGAATCTACGGATAACTGTTTTCTAGCTTCTAAATTTTGTGATGTGTTACTATTAAAAGGTACAGTTAAAAAAATAAAAGTGGCTACTTTGCATCATTCATGCTCTTCACTGCTATTTGTAGCAAGGAAGCCATTTAATACCCATATCTGTCTCTTCTGTATTGCTTTCCGGAAGACTCCGTGTGCTTTCTCTAGGATGGACAGCGTCTGGCAGGGCACACCTTTGCCTTGAACCTTGTGAATGCACACGGACCCACCTCGGCATGGAATCCATCAGATGTTACAAGGTGGGTGACAGTCATTTCATTAGCAGTCAGAGTCCCCGTCTTATCAGAACAGATGACATTGCAGCAACCTGGCCCAAGGAAACACCAGAGTTTATCAGAAAGAGAAATTGGCACCACCAACTCTCAGGCTTTTGATGTACCCCGGCTGAGTCATGCGGGTGCCCGAACATCCCATCCCATCCAGTTTATGAGAATCCAACCGGCCAGAGTCCCTCACCTAGAGTCTCCACGATCGGTAACTTCTTCACAATGACCCGCTTCTTGGCCATCCGCAGCACTCCCAGGACCAGCGTAACCATGACGACAATGGGCAGACCCTCTGGAATGGCAGCCACCGCCAGGCTGGAGCAAAGGGCCAGATGGGTCACCTTTAACACCCACTGAACGGCAAGAGGGATCCCAGCTGGGCTCAGCAGCATTTTTACCTAGTGAAGCTTGCCTCTGGTGCTCCCAGTGTCCCCAGTTCTAGTCTCCACTCCCAACCTCACAAGGTGTCTGTCTCCTTCAGCAGACACTGCTCTGAGCTCTTTCCCTGCAGATTCCTATTCTTGGGAAGGGACCTACCAGACACCCACACTTTAGTGTGAATTAGTCTGTCAGTTGTTTTGTCTCTTTAAGTACATTATGTATTGAAATTGCTTTCATTTATTAGAGAGAGAAGCCTTTGGGCCCTGTGAACAGAATTTCCAGAATCAGGCAATAAGTAGGAAGTAAAATTTTTTGTTTCAGAGGGACCTCCCTGGGGTCCCTTGAAAAAGCATGGCTGATTGGTGCAGAGGAGAACATGTGACTCAGGCTGAACCAATGGGCTTCTCTCTGGGGAATCTGAATTGGCACTGGGATCGTCTTCCTGCAGGCATATATCAGCGTGTGATAGGATGCAGAGAAAGGACTCTTTCTGTCTCAATTCCGGATCCAGAACATCAGGGGTAACTGGCTCCCTGTGCCACACTCCTGAGCAGGCCTGGATGAAACGAAGGGCTGGTTTAGGGCTTCCCATTGACCTTGGGCCAATGGGGGAAGCTTAAGAGTTGGGTGCAGACTGGAGTGGTGTACATGGTGCTTTTGTGCGGAGCTGTGCCGTGAGACAATGCCACACCCCACACCGAGGCTCCCCCTTCACACCAGGACGTCCACCAGGGCGGTGCAGGCACTTGGCAAATATTTTCTGAATGAACAAATAGGAATGAGTGGATAAACAGCAAGGGTCTGGACTGCACTGGCCTATCACGTAGCGGGCGCTCGAGGCTTCTCTCTGGGGAATCTGAATTGGCACTGGGATCGTCTTCCTGCAGGCATATATCAGCGTGTGATAGGATGCAGAGAAAGGACTCTTTCTGTCTCAATTCCGGATCCAGAACATCAGGGGTAACTGGCTCCCTGTGCCACACTCCTGAGCAGGCCTGGATGAAACGAAGGGCTGGTTTAGGGCTTCCCATTGACCTTGGGCCAATGGGGGAAGCTTAAGAGTTGGGTGCAGACTGGAGTGGTTACATGGTGCTTTTGTGCGGAGCTGTGCCGTGAGACAATGCCACACCCCACACCGAGGCTCCCCCTTCACACCAGGACGTCCACCAGGGCGGTGCAGGCACTTGGCAAATATTTTCTGAATGAACAAATAGGAATGAGTGGATAAACAGCAAGGGTCTGGACTGCACTGGCCTATCACGTAGCGGGCGCTCGACACGGGGTGGTTTGTAATCAGAAAGCCTGGCTGAGGATGACTGGTCAACCCAAGTCACACATGCTATCACATTTCATGCGATCTAAGACACTGCGACTGTGAAAGGCACCATTCACTGCGTGCCGTTAAGGGAGACCACCAACAGACCCACGTCATGAGGCTTTATTACCGCATCACGTTTAAGAAACAGTCTACTCTCAGAGAAGTGAAAATGTAAAAAATAATGTGCATCTTAGAATCAAAGAAATACGGTACATGGAAGGTGGCCTTTCCCCCTAAGACAATGGAGCATTCAGGACAAGTCATATAAACCAAGATTACTGAATTTGGTCAAGGGATTGTGCCTGGTTTCTATGGAGACAGCAAGCTGGCTTTCCCGGTTTTATGGCGCCAAGTGACAAGACTACCTAAGCAAACATTTGCAGAGGGTTAGGCTGGGGACTTTCTCCTGTATGGACTCGGAAGGGCGTTTTTACACTCTCTGGATTCTTTCATCATAATGCAAAAATTAATCCACAAACTGATATAGATTAGAATGGAGCAGGAAAAGCAGGTACACCTTTGGTTATCTTGAATGTCACTCAAGGCAGAGGGCATCAGGATAGAGTTTTTAAAAGGACAATTCTCATTTTATTTATTTCAGAGAATCTCTTTCTCACCCGTTAGCCTACCATTTCTACCTTCTGATCCAGTGGTTTCCAGCGGCTTTAATTCTGCTTAAAAACGGAAAACCCTCATCCTTTAAAAGTCACGAGTGAAATGAACAGGTAAAGTTTCTCTCAATTGCAGGCGCTGCCAGGGTCCCGTGGGGCGACCAAGGAGAAAGGGCAGGCCGAGATAAGGGATCAGGAATGACTGATGAATAGCCCTGGGGAGGGAGGTCAGGGATGCTCAAGGGAGCCTTTACTTTTATTTACTTGGAAATATTTAATAGTCTCTTTGGCTCACAGAACTTTGCATGGTTTGTAAGGTGGGAGTGGAACACATCGGGAAGTTCTTATGCATCGCAGCCCCTGAGTGCTGTCCCCCCAGCACTCTTTCCCAGGGCTCAGCCTTCTTCCGTGGCCCTGCCCCTTGCCGGAGCCCCGACTGGGGTGGTTTCTAGTCACAGCCTCCCTGCTCAGAGCGGGGAGCCCAGGGAGTGACCCCAGGAGCTTGTTAGGAGCACAAGCCCCAGGCCCCACCCAGACCACCAAGTTGGGGCACCAGCTAGGGGTGAGCAGGGACCCTCATGTTCTTATGCTGAAGCCCCAGACCGCCAGCAACCCAGACCCACCCTTCCAGGGAGCCGGCCCTCACCTCGAGCTCCCACGCCAACTACATCCCACAGCGAAGCCGGCTGCCCACCCCGCCGCTGCCTGCCCCTCATCTGTGACGAGCTGGCTCACACCTGCTGTCGCCTTCAGTCTCTGGGTCAAGAATGGCCAACACTGTCCATCTCTCTGCTCCAAAAGAATAGTAGAAATGGCCTGGCATGCCATGTTGAGAGGAATTCTGAGGACATGATTAGAATGGGAGAGAAAAGGGCCCCTAGCCTCTCTGTGGTCTGTCCCCTGACTGACTGACTCACCACCGCCTTCTGCGCACGGAGCCCAGGCACAGTCTCCTCCTGGTGCCCCTCAGACATGCCACCTCCCCGCCATGCCTGAACGCGCTTCCTGCCCTCCCCGCAGCAGGCTGCTGCTCATCTCTCCAGCTTCAGCTCCTCGGAGAAACCTTCCCGGCCACTTTTTCAGGGCATATCCCTTCCTACCTCCCTTTTAATCTTTCTCTCAGCAAATGTTTCCTTTGGGGCACTGACTGTGCGGTGTGATTGTCTTATTAACCTCACTTGAGTTGTTTACATTTGCTTCCCCCTCTTCTCCCCCTGCCAGCCTGCAGGCTCCCCTGCATGATACGCACCGAGAGCCAGCAGGGGCTGCGCAGGTATCTGCAGGGCAAAGCAACCGACGGCTGAAGGCTGCCGAGGGTGGAGAGAGGGGAGTGGTGGCATGTGGAGACGGTCCTACGCTGCCTCGGGGCACTGACAGGGAAGCGGGCCTCAGGGCAGAATGTGGTGGGTTTGACGTCTGTCTCTCCACCCCTTGACTCTGTAACCGTGGGCCAGCGTGTTAGCCTGAACCCCAGCTTCCCAGCCTGGGATATGCAGACCTATCTGCAGCCGAGCAGTGATGAACCAAGGTTATGAGCCCCACGTGAGCTCCCCTCCTTGTCACAGCATCACAGGCCCCTGGTTAGGCTCCCTGCAATTTCCCCAAGATTCTAGGACTGACTCTCCAAGCTCTTTCTCCACCACGTCAAAACCCTGGCAGCATCAGCATCCATGTTGGCACCCCTCCCACTCCCAGCTCCTACTTCCCGGGATGCATCTCTCTACTCTTTCTCCTCCGCTGAACTCAGTAGCCCCTGCCCAGTAGTAGGGGGAACTGTGACCCCCAAAAAATACATGTTGGAAGTCCTGATCCCCAGCACCCATGAATGTGGCCTTATTTGGAAATGGGGTCTTTGCAGATGTGACCAGTTGAGTCTGTAGGGTATCCCCCTAAGTCCAGTATGATTGGTGTCTTACAAGAAGAAGAAACAAGCAGGGATGAAGTCCATGTGGCCATAGAGGCAGAGATGGGAGGGATGCTCATGAACCAAGGAATGCCAAGGATCGCCAGCCATGCCAGGAGCTATGAGAAGGGCACAGAGCAGACTCTCCCCTAGAGCCTCCGGAGGGAGCTGCCCACACCTTGGTCTCCTGCACAGCACGCCGAGCCTGAGGGATTCTGTACAGGTAACGCACTTAGACCATGTGGAAAATAGAACAGACATGAGCGCAGAAGAGTGATTGAATGTGGAAAGTTCTGTAAGATGGTTCCATTTTCTTTCACATGCTTCATGGCCCCTAGGTCAGGTCATAAAGTTAGGAAACCCCAATTGACTTGAGGTCATGACCTTGTACATTCAGCCTCTGCTCCGTTATCTAGAGTTTAGCAAGCCCTTTCTCACAGCCACTAGCAAAATGTGACTCACCACCACTTAACACTGGCATGTTTTGGGGAAAAAGGCCTGGACTCCAGCAGGCCCATCTGTGTGGCACAGTGACCTTATTTTCATGGTTCCAAAGAGTTGGGGGGAGAAAGCCCAAACCCTGGTATGAATCCACTTATTTGTACATTATTTAAAGCAAAAACCTAAGGACAATTAACTGTTAGTGAAGCTTTTCTTTATACTGAAAGCTGTCTTTTTAAGATATTCCAATGTTGTTTGAACATCTGGTCTCATTAGAGGATTTTTTTTTTAAGGGAGGGATGGACTTTATTTTTTGACTCAGATTTAATCTGAGTTGGGGTTTTCCAAGTATCTACCATTTGTGTTTCGCTTTTGTTTTTCTTTCACATGTGTGTTCCTTCTGATTTCTGACTGCATAATATTCTAAACCAACTCTTCTTTTTTACCTTAAGTTTTTTTTTTTTTCATGGCCCCAGGATTTGGTGTTAATGAGATAGTGTTTGTTAAGGAATGGTGAAGTGTCTAAAACACTTTCCCAGTTTCCACTCATTAAAAAAGTAATTACTGAACACGTGTGTAATAGGACAGACACCTGCCCACAGGCTGGCTTTGCTGACCTGCCCCTCAGTTGATACACATAGTGCAATGTGACTGAAAAATAGGCATTTGGAATTTTAAAAACCTTCATTTGAATTGATTCTCTTGCTAACTGCCTGGTAACTGTGTACATTCATTCATTTATATACAGACAAGTTTGACTGTGTACCAAAGACATGGACACCCTAACCCTTAAAGAAGGGCTGTCTTGCCCACACTGGGGAAGCAGCACCCCGTAACCTGCATGTCCCAATGTACAGTGGGCTGCCCAAGGCACTGTGAATTGCATCACTGTAATTTATTTAACTGACATTTACAACACAGTTGTTTGCAAACAGCTTACCTTTTATATATAAATTAGGCCCCAAGGATGCTTGTAAGAACAGCATTCCTGGTTGTCTGCTCTATTCTCTTCTGTTTTCTTTATTGAGATATAATGCACATGCCATTAAATTCACCCTTTTGGAGAATGTAATTCAGTGCATATTCAGAACTGTGCCATCATCACCCCCATCAATTTCAGGGCATTTTCATCACCCTCAAAAGAAGCCTCACACCTGCAACAGTTATTCCACACACCTTCCTGCAGCCCCTACAGCCACCCAGCTATTTCCTGGCTCTGTGGATTTGCCTATTTGGGGCATTTCATGTACATGAATTCATATAACATGTGGCCAGTTGTGCCTGGTTTCTTTCCCTTAGCATCATGTTTCTAGAGTTATCCATGTAGTGTATATAGGGCTCCACTCCTTTTTATGGCTGCATAATATTCCACTGCGTGTCGTTTCATTCACTGATGGTCATCTAAATTTGTTTGCAGTGTGGGTTTGATATGCTCAGTATATGTGTTTTTGCTCACGATCACTAAGATAATTCTGCATGGATTGCCTGAACCATCCTGCAGCTCTGGACAGCACGGGGGTGTCACCCTCCAGAAAACCTGGGCTTGGCATGAGCTTAGCATGTGTTGGGGTCTCTGTGTCCCAAAGGGTTACTGGCCCCCCTTCCACTGGGACATTCCCAGTTAGTGACAATCCCCTGCACTCTGCCTCGTGAGCAGCCATGGAAAAGCTGAGCAACTTTAGCCTCTGCACTGAGTCAGGCTCATCTCTGTATCGTCCACAGGGTCCTGGGGGTGGGATTGTTATATATTAGAATCACCATGTGGAGGTGGGCAGGTTCCAAACCAATGAAGAATAAATGCATACTGTGGGCTTGTGCTGTGCCAGGCACTGCCTGCACCAACTCAGTTCACCCTCACTGCGACCCTAGGAGGGGCTCATCACTGCTCCCATTTTACAGAGGAGGACACTGAGGCACAGGAAGTGCAGAAACTCACCCAAGGTCACACAGCTAGCAAGCGGCAAAGCTAGAATTCAAACCTAGGCAGCCTGGCTCTGGAGTCCACGCTCTCAGCCAGAAAGAGCCAGACCTACACGCGAAGAGTGGTGGGAATGGGACCTCCAAGTGGTCTGCGCTCATTCACTTTGTAAGCACGGGCTGGGCACCCGTATCTCTCATGCAGTGAGTGACCGGCAGACGGCGGCTCCCGGTGAGGAGGATGCACCCTCCCCACAGCATTCCCACTCAGCAGCCCCCCCCACCTTCGCTCCCAGCGCTGGGGGAGGGCTGGCACAGGGCTCTTACCTGACCCCGATCGTGAACATGCTGAGGAGCTGTTTCCCTTGCAGCCAGCCGATGAACATGATCAGGCCTGGGGGAGAGAGGAAGGGAGAAAAAATTACACCCCCACCCCCCCCACCCCCCCACACACATTCTCTGACGTTCAAAGGTGTTTCAAACTCGAAGAGTTTACAGGAATATGTACATAGGGCAATGATGAATAATCTCAAGTACTTGCTATGAGTTTCCTTCTTCTTTGAAGGAAGATACTTCCATACCTATGAAAAGGTCTTACTTTCCAGGAGATGATCAAACCGTTCAAGTTAAAATGAACAACCAACTCGTTTATTTTGGTCTGTCTGCAAACGTGTATGGCCTATCCCCAAAGCTCCCCCATGCGCTGCGTGTACCTCCCCTGGAGGCGTCCGACACAGCACCTCACAGCTGCTCCCATCATGGACAGATGGGCTACTGATTCTTAAATTATTTCCTCTTTCTGTGTTCATGATTAAACATATTCCTTTTTCTATCTTCTTCTTCATCATTTACCCAATGTTTACTAAACAGCAGGCGTTGTGCTACGCATGGACACATGGACAGTGGCACAGATGGACCCTCAAGTCAGAGAAGCGGTGTGGGTCCCGCTGGGACGCGTGAAAGTGCACGAGACATCCTGGCGACAGGAAGAGCACTGGGGCCGCTGGGTGCACCTCAGCGTCCTCATCTGCTGAGTGGGGGTGATGGCCATGTCTTCCTCCAGGAGTTGTTTGAGGATTTAAGATGTGACAAGCCACTTGAGGTGCTCAGCACGAGTCCTCGCCCACAGTGAGCGCCCAGCGGTTACTGCTGTGGACTATGTAAGAAGGAAAGTGGAAAGGTGAGCGGAGCTGCCGGCTGACGGGCCGTGGAGGAGTTTCCAACCAACGTCAGTTCTGCTTTGCAGGGAACAGAAGCGGGGGCAGGTTTTTGCACTGGGGCTAGTCGGGTGTGTGTGTGTAGGGGTGTCGCAAGGCCCGATTTGTTAGGTTTCTTTCTTCTGTGATTAGCAACAGAGTTCAGCAGTCAAATGAAATACCAGCTGGAACCCAAATGAACCCACATGTGAAAGATTGGAAGGGAGACTCTCTCAGAAAGGGGAGGTGAGGGGCAGTGAGCCTGCCCCAGCCCCACGTGGGGACTCCCTGCAGAATGCTGGCACTCGCTCGCAGGGGCTCACAGCGCCGGCTGTGCGTATTGCTTCCCAGGTCCAGGTGCAGTAACTTACACTGGTGTTTGAAGTTGGCCACGCTGGGGTTATTTACACCACAGAAACTGGCAAACTCGACATTCCCCTGGCAAGGTGGCTGTTCAGCATTTACCAGCACACCAGCGCTTCCTTGCCTGACTCTCCTAGAGCCGTCTGTCAAGTATTTATTACGAAGAAAAAGTCTGAGAGGTATGGTGGGCCTGGCCACAGCCCTACCAATTTAAGTTCTAATTAACGTGAGGAATAATGGCTTATCCAAGGCAATGCAGGTGGTCCTCTGACTTGGAACTTTTGTTTTAAACAAATTTCATCTTGTGGAAAAGCCTGCCAATACTCGCTATTTGACCACTGACCTTAAGGCACATTTACTTGGTGTTTGTCCTTGCAGCTACTGACATAGAGCAAGAGGCACTGTGACAGTGTGGTCTCCTTCCAGCAGGTGCCATCCTCTAGAGCAGGCGTCACAAAACTTTCTCTATAATAGGCCAGACAGTAAGTAGTTTCCGCTTTGTGGGCCACGTGGTCTCTGCTGCAGCTCAACTTGGCCATGTGAGCATGAAAGCAGCCACGGCGTGTTATGTGGATGGGCGTGGCTGTGTTCCCATAAAACATGATAAACACTGAAATTTGAATTTCATGTAACTTTCATCTTATGAAATATTATTTGTCCTTAGATTTTTTTCGATCATTTGAAAATGTAAAAAATATTTCTTGCTTGTGGGCCGTACAAAAACAGGAGGCAGACATAATGTGGCCCGGGAATCACAGTTCGCAATCCCTGCTCTTTGTGTAAAAGGCCTCTGGGAAGCCAGGGGCCCTGCTGCCAGGGATTCCTGATCAGTGTGCAACCCCTAGGATGGCAAGTGAACGGCCATGCACAGTCCCTTTCGCCTCCTGTGTCCGTGGCAGACGTCGCTGATCCATCACAGCGCTCTTTGCCACCAAGCCTGGGCACAGGGCCCTACTTGCTGTGATCAGAGGTGGCAAGTTAACATAAAACCCATTTCCCATCACTTCTCCAAGAAAAAATAGGGCAGAGAGGAGAGAAACAACAAATGACTTCAAAACAGTGAATCTAGTGGTCTGGCCAACTTTCAGCACTAAATCCAAAGCTGAAATTTGGAAAGGAGACTAGACACTGGAATGTTGGCAAGGGGTGGCCAAGAAGGAAAGGGCAGGCAAATCTGTCCCCGGCATGACTGAGCTGAGAGCCCTGACTTTGGACCACATCTTTTTAAACATTTCCTAAATTTACCACCTCTTATGAGGTATAAAGGAGTGGGAGATATCCTTCATGCCTTTGGAATATACCCTATCCTCTGCCCAGAATTCCCAATCCCCTCTATATTTCCTTGGCAAACTCTTACTCATCCTGCAAGACCCAACTTCATGTCACCTCCTCCTTGGAGCCTTCCCCACTCTCCCATGCAAGATTAACTGCTAGTTTCACATTTCATATTTGTTTAGGTGTCCCTCCCCTATTTGTCTTGGGTCCTTTAAAGGGCAGAAGCTATGTTTGATTCATTGTGGTGGCCCCAGGACCTAACACAGCATCTAGCATGTCATATAACAATCACTAAATGAAGTTATGCACCTGCTTAGCTAGAGGCACCACAAAACTGCTGCTCAGAGGAACAGCTGTTTCTCCCAGGAACTTTCTCTGGCTCTGCAGTTTGGGCCAGACTTGCTCATATTTCCTCTCATCATTGTCCGTGCCACAGGTAGTAGATTGTTGGTTTGTTCTTTTACCAATTCATTCACTCAGCAAGTGTTTGTTGAGAATCCACGATGGGCGGGGCACTGGTTGGGCTGGAAGGCTGGGGATGAAGGACACAGACCTGGAGCCAGAGCTGGACACAGCAGGAAGGTGCAGGTAGAGGCATCAGGCCAGCCTCATGGCGGTGTTCAGGCTTAAGCCTTGGATTTAGGTCTGTGGCATCATGTTGATACTATACGGTATGTTGCCAAAGGCCGGGAAGCACAGCCTGCTTAGTCACATAGAAATATGCCCGGGTGCACCACGAGACTACAGAGCTCTGTGTCCTTTGCAGTTAGGTGGACCATGCAGCTCCACGCTGCCCACTGAGAGTCGGCAAAGTGATGACTCCTTGGTCCAGGCCTTAATATTTTCCCCCAAGCCTCCCTGTTCTCTGTTCCCCTACCTGCTGGCGGAGAGAAGGATGGCCCACCTCCCGGGACCTGGAGGAGGGAGAACAACAGCAGGCGAGCGGCAGGAGGTGGGGGCCCGGCTCCCTGAGCCCGTGTTTGGAGGCGAGCTACCCAGGAGAGCCACTCGACCAGGAACGTGATCCTGGACTGTGGTGTGAGCAAGAAATAAACTTGGGCCATGTTAAGCCACCACAGTGTGGGAGCTGCTTGTTGCTGCCATTAGCTTGGTCTGACCAATACAGAAACTTGTAGCTGCTGCCAGAGCGTCCAGTCCTAACCATCCATCGTCACCCAGGTGGATGGCAGGATACTTCAGAACCCACTGTGGCCGCTCAGGCCGGCTCCCTCTGTCACCAGGACCCAGCACAGAAACCGCGTTACTCACCAATTATGCCAAACGAGAACAGCGTCAGCTGCTTGCCCAGCCTGTCCATGCTTTTTTGCAGAGGAGTTTTAGGCGTCTGAAAGGATGAGGACAATGGGCTTGTTAGACGAGACCCCAGCAGCGTCCCCCAGCGTCTGCCTGGCTTTCTTAGATCTTGAGCTGAAGGATGATGACACAGGGGTTACACATATATAGGGACTCATTGACCTCTACACTTAAGATCTGTGCATGTTATTGTTAAGTTATACCCTGACAAAAAACTTAATACCTGTTTAAAATAAAAATAACTTTAAAAAAGTGTACTCACCTTTACCATGTCATCCTCATTCCTAAGGAGTGGGCAGGGCAGGTACCACTGGCTGAGAGTAACCTCAAACCCCAGCATATAAGAAACCTGAAGCCCTGACTGGCACTTACCTCTTCAGCCTGCATCATCTTAAACACCTCTCCGAACTGAGACCTTTCCCCTGTCCCGATCACCACACCCTGCATTTGGGAGAGAGAAACATGAGATGCCAAGCTGGAAGCCTCCTGGTGCTGGGGCCCAGGGTCCCGGGCTTACCTGCGCCTTCCCGCACTGCACCAGGGTCCCCATGAAGACGATGTTGCTCAGGGTGCTGAGGTCCCCCCCGCCCGTCAGCGGGCTGTCTGTCTTACTGCACGGCTCGGCCTCCCCCGTGAGACTGGACTCATCCACCAGCAGGTCTGTGACCTAGGGGACCGGAGAAAGACCACGGTGTCTGCCCTCCCACCCCAGGGTCTGGGGTTAAAAGCACAGAACGTGACCTAGCACATTAATGTCATCTGCTAATGGACAAAAAATAATGAACCCGTTGAAATCAGGGAGTTAAGAATCAGAACGCGGCCTGGCACCTGCAGGGGTGGGAAAAGCTTTAGATGTGTGGCTCCTCTCAAAAAAATGTTAAGTCTCATACCTTCTTTTAGCATTAAACTTTAATGTAATGTTTAAAAAGAGCTTAGGCAATGACTAATTTAGGACATACCCTTTCAAAGCACCTGTGGCTTTTTCCTAAGCCTCCACATCCACCCTCCACACCCCCTACCTTGGAGAGTCCCAAAGAGTTCATGTGGTTTGAACATCACTGAGCCAGGTTCTTCAGTGACAGCCTAAGGTTCTGTTAACACCAGAAACACACATGCAGGCACAGATACACACCTACACACTCACGCACTGCAGGAAAAGAGGAGGAAGGTGCTAATATTATCTCTTAATTCGCACACCCTCCCTGAAAGATGCTATTATTTTCTCCATTTTACATCTGGGGAAACTGAGGCATGCTAGGATTAAGGAGCTTGTTCAGTGCCACATAGCTACTTAGTGACAGAACAGAGGTTTGACCCAGGGCTCTGGTTCCAGAAACTACACTCGTAACCTTCTTGCAAAACTGACCCCAGATCCAGTAGGTATCGCTCAAGAGGTGAGTCTCCTGTGCCACGAAGAGGTGGCCAGAACTGTGCCAGATACCACAGAGGACATAAAAGGGGTCCAGGGCTGGCTCTGTCCCTAAGACCTCATCATCTATGTATATAAAACCAACTTAGAGAGAAGCTATCTTTCTATAAACTCACAAGAGACAGTTAGATCAGCATTTCGCAAATAGAGGCCTATGAGTTCCCTATACTTTCAAAAATTTTTAATTCAATAATAATCTTAAAAATATGTACATTGCCATGGTATCCCAGTCCCCAAGATGACAGGGGCTGCCACATGTAATATACCCACCTCCCCATCATCCTTCCTAACAGAATCCCCACGGTGTTGGAAATGGCAACGTGCCCTGCCACACAACCTTATTTCCCAGCCTCCCTTGCAGCTCACCGCATCTCTACCCTCTGGACAATGAGAAATAAGAAGCCTCTGGTGGTCCTGGAAGGTCTTTGAAGGCAGCTGAGTTGACAGGCCCCCTTTGTTCTCCTTGCCTTCCTTTTTATTCCTGCCTGGACCTTCGTCATCGTGTCTGGAGCTCCAGAAGCCATCTTACAAGCATTAAAAGGATGACCACACTCTAGGGAGGGCAGAGCGGGGGCTGAGAGAAGCCCAGGTACTTTGCTCCAAGATGGAGCTGCCATATTGGCTGTGGACACACCACTTCTGGACTCCTGTTATGTGAGAGAGAAATAAATCCCTTTCCATTTGAGCCCATGAATTTATCTTAATCTATTACCACCAATACAACCGCCCCTGGATCTAGAGATTGCATTTGTGTTTTTGATTCTCAGGACATCAAGGGAAAATCAAATGACCTCACAGAGCAGCTCCTAACCCACAGTAAATGAAGGATTGGGAGAACTGAGTCACCCAGCATCCCAGGTGCTGACCCCATAGACCCCAGGAAGCAGCAATCAGCCCCACATCCCCAAGGCAGAGACTTTGTTTCCAGAAAACAGTGTCTAATGGGACATGAAAATAAGTTAAGTTGTACTTACTTTGAAAATTTGGCTTAGGTTTCTATGTCAGGTGTGTGTATCAGTCTGAAGCACAAAGAATCTGTACCTAATTTTATGTTTGTTCACATTTAGGTAGCATTGCAGTAAAGATAATAAATCAACACTGGGACGGGAACCCTGACTGAGTAATCCAATGTCCTAATCAGACCCAACCTGCAGCAGAGCGTTGGGAGTGGACACAGCAGGTGGAGGGGCTGGTGCGGGAGCATGAGCTAGAAGAGGAGAGCTCCTGGGGGGTCTGGGGCCCCCAAACGGTCCGTTGGAAGAGAAGACATTTGGTGAGTGAATCAGGCAGGTCCCTTTGTGGGGGAAAGAAGGCAAGAACTGGCGGTGAGTGACTTGGAATAACATGCCTGAGCAAAGCAGCTGGAGATGGGCGAAGCACAGAAAAGACGTTTCTTCTCCCAGCACCCGCCAATAGAAAAAGGACAGGAGCCCAGCGTGCTGAGTGCTAACACCAATTCACCCTCTTGGGTTCTTGGGAGCGGGCAGGGGAGGGCGCTGTCCCAGGTGCTGAAGTCAAGGCCGGGAGGAGAGGGGCACTGCTCTTAAGGAGCACCCACCATGGAAGCCCTGAATAGACCAGGACGAGAGGGCACAGGCAGGAAGACAGGAGGTGTGAGCTACCTGGGGACACGTGACTGGAGTCAAGCAGCTCTGGTGGTGTGGCTGGGATTCAGCTGCATCTGGCATTGGCTAAGAAATCTGGATGTTACCTTATAGGTAATGAGGGACCATTTAAAGTCTTGAGCGGAGAAGTCAGGGACATGGGTGAGATAAGCAAGGTGATATTAGGTATTGGAGGAGGTACGCCTCTGCATTGGGAAGGGGAAGCCTACAGTTCCAGTGAGGCCTAGTAAGCCTCTCAGTGAGGGGTTGGCAGTGCGCAGGGGTGGATGAGCACGAATATTGTCAGCAACTGAAACTGACTAGGCGTGTGGGAGCAGGCAGAGGCCACCAAGGGTTGGAGGCGAATCTATTTCACAGAACATTTTAAAAGTCAGCATATTTGACCCTGGTTATATTTCGTTAGGCTCTATAACCCAACCCTCTGAGACGAGACATGAGCCTAGACTGTTGCTCAGGTTTATTGGGCCTATTTTCTAGTTCTGGTCTTTACACTTGTACAAGCCATTTGGGGTGCTGTGACCACAGATCCCAGAGCCTCCTGCATTTCCATTCTGGTTTGCCAGTGGACCCAGGAGGGCTAGAGACTCCTTAGAAGTTCTTCTTATTTTTCTTTTTAAATAAAAATCATGCTTGCAGTTGTGATAGTGACTTGGGAACCTTTGGTTTTCCATTTATGAAATGGATGAGTGGGGAGTTAGAACATAATTTTTCCTCTTGCATCTTCAAGAACTCTCACTGTAGGATGTTAACAGCTGCTCTCTGAAGAAAGGGCTCCCTGGAGCATTAAGTGTGGGATACACGGGTGAAAAACCAGAGAACTGGTTTTCTTTACCACAGGACTTCTCAGGGCCTTTACCAGGCAATAAGTGCTGTGACCTCCCAGTGGGCTAGTGTGCGTGTCTCGGTGGTGGGACCGGGACTCTGGGCTGGAAGGTCACCAAGTCTTTTCCTGTCTAACACAGAGCCCTCCAAGCACAGCAAGAACCATGTAAGGAAAACTCATTTAACTTGGGTTTTTGCTATTAAAGAAAGACCAGTTAGGATAATACCTGCTCAACCCAGTTTCTCAATTGGTTGATTCAACAGGACTGTAGTGGATGCCTATTAGATGCCCAAAGGAATTGTCAGTCAGATTCTGCGTTACGAACTTTGGAGAAAAATATTCTCACAGGTAAGACAAATGGAGGGTGATCTAAACAGGATGGTACCAAATTAGAAAAGAGCAGAAATTCAGAGAAAGAATACTGGTTGAGGATATAATAATAAACATTTGTTGAGTGTTTGAATTCTCCCATCAAACAGCCACAACTATCGCATGGAAAAGACACTGCTCTGATCCTCATTTATAGATGAAACTGAGGACCCAATAGCTTCAGAAACCTGCCCAAGACCCAAAGGCTAGACTGCGTCAAAGACGGACTCTAGGTGGGGAGGTGGGGCGGCCAGGCTGTGAAGAGTCAGAGGGCAGAGCTCAGTCTTCATACAGGCGGAGTAGGGAGCCACTGTAGGTTCCAGGGCAGTACAGGCTGGCTACACGGAGCCTGGGAAGGGCCCCCGGGAGGGCTGCGTGGGATGGGTCAGGCAGGGCAGATTCTGGCTGGAGGGCAGCAGCAGTTGCCCGGGTAAGGGATCTCTCACAGGGAGAACCGCTATTAATCAGCAATACATTACATGAGGAAACATACCTCGGCCAGGTGATCAAGGTCAATACCAACAGTGATTAGTCATGGTGAGAGCAGGCACCTCAATATGATGGATGAGAAGGGCACTGTACCTCTGGGGTCTTCCTCCCCAAAGCCCCCAACCCCAGTCTGATCTATGGCCAGGCATTCTTCTGGGCCCTGTGAATCCAGCAGCAAATAAGACAAACTCCCCACCTCCATGGAGCTTGTCCCACAGCCTGAGGCGGCAGTGGGGCTGCCGATGAAAGTGAAGACAAAGGAAAGCGGGTTGGGGAGCGCTTAGCAGAAGAGTCAGGGAGGAGGACACAGTGAGCAGAGGCCTCAGGAATGAGGAGGGCCAAGTCACGCTGGTGGGGTGCGGGTTCCAGGGCCAGAAGCTGCCCTACTACGTGGCAGTCCCCTCCATGGAGATGTACTGCAGGCAGATGGAAACAGTAACATGTTTGGCACCAAGGTCAGGACTAGGCATGCAGCTTGGGCCTCCTCTGCCTAGAGCAGCTGATTTGCATCTATTCCAGGTTGGCTCAAAAGGCACTGTCTACAGGCAGCCCTCTGTGACTGCAGGGAGACATTAGGTCGGTCCTGAAGGGGAATCCAGAATTCCCCGGGCTTCTCCCTCACGCCCCACAGCAGTCCTGGAAGTCACCCGTCATGCGTGAATATGGGTTGTCTGTCACTCTGGGCTGTAAATCCATAAGCACAGGGACCGGGTCTGTTTTCTCCAGCACAGTTCTTGGCACACTGTAGGTGCTTAAGCAAGATTTGTTGAATGAATGAGTGAAAGGAATATGGGGAAGCCCTGAGGCAGGAAGGAGGGGAGAAGGCTTCCAGGAGGGCCTTGAGTGTGATGGGCTGAGGAACAGTCCCCCACCCAACCCCCCAGACGGTGGTGTCCTGACCCCTGCAAGCTGTGAATGTTACCAGACACGGCAACAGGGAGTTTGCAGATCTGATTAAATTAGGACCTTGAGGTGGGGACAGGATCCTGAAGGATCTAGGCAGGCCCTAAATGGCGTCACAGGAGGAGGGGCAGAGACGTGTCTGAGTCAGAGGAAGGTGGCTAAGCAGTGGTTGGTGGTTGGGGCCAGGAGTCCAGGAATGCAGGCGTCTCCAGAAGCGGGAAAGGTTGGGGGACGGACTCACGCCTGGAGCTGCGTCCTGCCAACACCTTGATTTTTTCAACCCTGTGAAATTGATTTTGACTCTGGCCTCCAGAACTGTGCGGTAACACACTGATTTTGCTCATATGCCAGCTCATATGCAGGGGTTTGTTAGAGCATAGGAACCCAATGGCGAGGACACCCACAGGGTGAGCCGGAGGCGGGAGCTAGGTGGTGGGGATGGGGGTGGGGCGGAACAGGAGTCTCAGTGTGTGCTGAAGGGTGTGGTCTCTGCAGCTGGGGGCAACTCGAACTCCCTTCCCCTCCACTTACAGCGTGTGACCGCAGGTGGGCTGCATGATCTCTCCAGGCCTGCGTCTCATTTGCAAAATGAGAAACAAGAGAGGAGGCCCATTCTCTCAGGGTTGTGGAGAGATGACAGGAGGCAGTGTTTATACAGGGGTTCACTCAGACCTGACTTTACATACGCATGCCTATGCATCAGTTCTCTTCATCAAAATAAAGGGAGGTGGGGATTAAGGAGACTGTGTGGCTCAAGAAGGAACAAAGCTGGTTGTGTGTGTGGTTGGGCGGGGGCTTCTGGGGACTACCGTGTCCAGTGGGGGGCACGGGGCTGAGCGGCCGAGCATAGAGACAGGGCATTGAACCCACATAATGCCCGTGGCTCCCAAGGAACAACCTGCTACTTCCTGCTCAGGTGTAGACAAAGGGTCTTCCACACCTGGCTGGCCTTCTGCTCCCAAGATAAGCCTTTCTTGGACTCCTGACAAGTCCCATTCAAGTCCGTGTCCACTTCAGGTAATGGGAGGGAAAAGAAAGAGCTGGGGTTCTGCTCAAAGGCTGTGTCAGCTTAGCCTTTTAACGAGGCCTTGACCTTTAACTGTGGGAAGAGAAAATGTCTGTGACCACCCCCCAAAACACTCTGCAAAAGGGATCAGTATTCGGGTTATTTTTAAAACTTTCTTGAACCTACTGTTTCCTCAACCTAAACAGTTCTAAAATATATAGTGAAGCTCTCCTGAGTCCCAGAGCTTAATGGCTGATAAAAACACTCCACTGTGAATAAACAAAGCTATTGATTGTTCAACGGAGTTGTGAAATATCTGAAAGGAAATCTGTGGGGTTCAAAGCTGGTAGCACTGCAAAATCCCTTTGTGGTGCTAATGGCCAGGTACAATTTAGATTAACATAAGCAGGCAGGAAGAAACCAGCTAAAGAAGTTGGAGAGTTATTTGCAGGTTAAAAAATTGTTTCAAAGAACGGTTGTCGTGATTGGTAATGATAATATAATCGGTTGCTAACACTCAGTGGCTGCTTACTTAGAAAGCCAGGGGCAGGGTGGTGTGCATGGCTACGCATGTTCCTGGGGCCCCTGCCTAGGCTACTTCAAAGGTGGGCTAGAATATGTCCCCAGGCCCCAGGTGCAGGTCCCGGCCACTGCCCTCTCCATCCCTCCCTCCAGGCCCGTCTTGTAACAGCCTGCTATTGATGCTAGGGTTCCTGAGACCGTGTCCAGAAATAAAAAAATCAGGCTTAATCCTTTATCACTATAAGCTTTGAACAATTCTTAAGCATTCTTGGAAGGAGTCATAAATGGATTATTCCTATCAACAAATCCCTCTGAACTTGATTTAACCTATTCTCATGAATTCAGGATTATCTCAGACAGCCTCAGGTATTGTTCTAAAGCTGTGATGCCCTGACACCCACAAAGGTTGGGGAAACAGCTCACTGCACACCCAATGTCCCTAAACCACGCTATACTATAAGAGCTTGTGCTATCTCCCACCTTGTCACTGGTCCTGTCTCCCTCCTCACTGGCAAGCAGTCTTATATCCCTTCTCTCTGACACTCTGACATCAATGTGGCTGTTTCTCGAAGCAAGTCTTGCCTCAGCCCTCATCTCCCCCTCCCCCTGGTTTAATTTGCCACTGTAGTCTGCTGTAAACTAGAAAATAACATAACCAAGATTTGCGAGGCTAAATGTAAAATGAGAATAATTTATGAAATACAATTGGAGGGGCATTGCAATTAAGATTAACTTCTAACTTTGTGACCTGTTTGGGCACATGAACATGTGTGCACTCACTCATGTGTATGTGTGTATGTGTACGAATGTGAGTGAGAATACCCACCTGCAATATGCTAAGTGTCTGCACAGTCCCCCCACAAGGGCTCAGGACCCCTCACCTCAGTGAGACGGATGTCTGCAGGGACGCGGTCTCCAGTTGAGAGAGAGACGATGTCCCCAGGGACCAGGTCGCGTGCCAGCAGGTGCTGGAGTTTCCCTTCTCGCATGCTGCATTTGAAATGTAGAGGGCAAAATCACCCTGTTGGCATCCCACTCTGTGCACTTCCATGAATCTGAACAAAGCTTATAGAAAACACTTTCTCTTTCAGTCATAGACCAACCCCTGTGCCTGTATGGTTTTATTATTCTTAAAATTCACATTTCCTAAAAGACTTTTGGGAAAGTGGGAAGCTTCTGGTAGACCCCAGGCCTCCTCTGAGAAGTGGGGCAACTAGACTACTGTTTATCCTGCTTGGAAACAAGGCTGGCCACACAGCCTCTGGAAGCTTCTGTAGGTCTCTGTTAGTGGTTCAAAAGCTTCCTTAAGGAGCCAGTAACTAGCAATGCTTCTGTCCTCAGAGAAGACACCCTTCTGGTGGGCAGAGCTCGTCTCAAGAGCTCAGCGGGCAGAGCTGAGAGGAGCATCTTGAATGCCCTACCAGTCCAGGACCTTCTTTCTCGTGGGGTGGGGACCCTCCGCAGGGCCATCTGCCCTTAGACAATGGACATGCTTCTCTGCACAGGCTCCAGCTGAAGTCCCACCATGTGTCACCCCTCATCTGGCTGCTGCAGAGGCCTCCCAGCTGTACTCCTGCCTCCACTCTGGCCTTCTTCAGTTTATCCCATGCATGGTGGCCAGGGAGCCCTTAAAACACAGAAGTCACATCACAGCTCCCCCCTGCTCCACACCCTCCCCCTCCACAGCTTTCTGGTGACCTTGGAACCAAACCCAAAGGCCCTGCTAAGGACACGCCGCCCCCTGCCCGCTGCTGCTCCCACCTTACATCATCCAGCCCTTGAACACACGCCGCTCTTAGTCTCAAGATCTTTGCCAGCCTTGAATGCTGAACACACATTCCACTCCTCCTTGTTAAAAGGATTTGGTCTTATTCAGATATCCACCCTTCTCCCACAGCTATCTGCTCTGGGGAGTGGGTCCCGACTAGCTGAGACCATTAGTGTGATCCCATCCCCTGCCCACAGTATGCTTCGGCACAGGCATGTTCTGTAACACTGGCCTTTGAGACGTGAGTGGACATTTGCTGGGGGTTCATGAGAACGGTTTCCTCATTCTGTAAACACACACACACGTCATCTCCTTTTGGGCCTTGTCTGGCTGTGATGCCTGGAGCTATGGCAGCCACTTTGGGACCATGAGAGAGCCAGCCACAGAACAAAGCCAACAAGCAGAGGATGGCAGAGTAAGGAAATAAAAGGACCAGGTCCTCAGCGCCATCTTGAACTAATGAACCCCACTGTCCCCACACCTCATATCCGTTGCCACGGGACCACACGACTTCCTTAGGGATTGTGCAGCTGACTTTCCTGCTCCCTGTTGCCAAGAGCACCTCTCAGATGTATACCCGCTATTCCCTCAGCTCTTCCCGGGTCTTGCTTCTCCTATTTCTCAGGTCTCAGCTTAAATGTCACATCAGGGCAGCCTGATCACCGGCGATTTACAGTTCCTCCCACCACTCCCCCAGTCACGACTGCATCTCCGTGAGCTTGTTTGTTCTGGTTCTCGTGTGGCTTTGGTTTGGGGGAGGGGATCTTTTTGGCTTTCATGCGCCTGATGCTTCCCAAAGTCACCTGTTTCTCTGCTTTGTTATCTGCCTCCCCAGTAGGAATGTGAGCTGCCCGAAGCCAAGGACTTGCCATGTCATTCACTGGTATGACCCTGGCACTACTTCTCCCGGCACACAGTAGGTGCTCAATAAATATTTAATGACTGCACAAAGGATGGGGGTACTGCAGGAAGGGGCTGCACAGCAGGCATGTCTTCTGATCTGTAGAGACGTCTCAGAGACTCGGTCACTTAGGCTGTCTGTCTCCGATGCTCCTTCAGTTCTACCAGGCTGCCTGCCACTGTTGTTTCTGAAGATAAACTGTCTTTTATAGGTGACTTCCGGGTACATCAATAATGCGTACCATTCACCTGAAAGGCCACGACTTGATATTTCAACTTAAGATCAGACCATCAATCTACATACATCATTTATGTTTCTGTTTGTCCCTAGAATGATGTCACACCACATGTCCAGATTTCTGACAGTCTTGTGTCTGGTGATCAGGCCCAGACGCTTTCACTGCTCCCAGGGAACCTTCTAGAATCGACTCACACTCTCTCATGCTTCCACATCATCCTCTTTTTGTTTCTGTTTTGCTATTTGTTGTTCTCTGCCGTGTATCACACACACATATCCCCTTGCTTGCTTATTCCTTGGGAAGGAGGCCTCCGTCTCACTAGATCTTCCTGTCTCCTGGCCCTGAGGCTCAGTTGTGCCATATTACATCCAAGAATATCTGATGGTTCCTCCCCAAAATATATCCTTCAGAAAATAGAGGGTTGCTGTATGTTAAAGTCTTTACAAAATAGCTCAGGATCAGGGATGCTTCCAACCACTTTTTTCTGAGCAACAATGTAATGTGGGAAGACACGACTGTGAAACAAGTAGGGCTGAGGAGACGGCCCAGGCCTTCGGAGAACAGCATGTGGATTGCCGGCATGCTGAAATGAAGTCGAGAAAAATCCAGGCCTAAAGCATTTCCTCTCTGCATCTGCCAGGTTCCCTAACCAATGGCGGCGGCCCTTGCCCATGTTGAGCCTGAGGTCTCCAGCCAGGTGGCTGCTGGTCCCAGGTGGCTACTTAAATTCAAGTCGAATAAAGCAAAGAAGGCAATTCCTCAGCCACCCGTATGTGCAGTCCTATCCAGAGGGATACTGGACTGGGCAGCTCAGATTAAAGAACACCCAGAAGGCTCTACTGCCCAGCACCACGCTAAGCAGAAACGCCCAGGACGTGTGTATGGCAGACATTTCTGTTCCTCTTTCCTTCTTTAAACATCTTTGGCGAGGGCTGTGTGACAGCAGATGGCAACATTGAAATGTCCAGGCAGGAGAGATGCTGCTGAGCTAACCCCGGAGTCCATGCGTGGGACACTCCACCTGCAGCCTAGGGTGCTGAGGCTCAGCTTGGGAAGCCCGCCTCCCCACCTCTCCTGGGTCCACCCTTCGAGAATTCAGTGAATGCTCTGAATGCTCTGCTCTCCCACACAGCTTTACACACTCGGTTGGAGGTTCCAGGGGCTGCCCTCTTCCCCAAGCCATTCTGTGGCACACTGCTTAGACACTCATGATAGAGGTGAGGCTCAGAGAGGCCGAACAACACCCCCTAGGACACACAGTAATCTGTGGGCAGGGCAGAGGCCAGGTGTTCTAGTTCCCGCAAGACATGGTTCTCCTGTATCATGCTACAAGGGGTACAAATTTTGCCAACTTTTTGCCAAACTCATAAGCCCCCCAGCTCCTCCAGGGAGGAGGCCTCTGACTCACCAGTTGCATTCGGGAGGAACCAGCTTGGTCAGCTCTTCTAGGGATTTCTCCGACCTGTACTCCTGGCAGGAAGTACATCACACATGCTGTTCAAGGTGGGAACTGCCCAGAGCTCCCACCATGCCCGGTCACCCTAGTCAGGACCTCAGGAAACAGATACATACCTGGATGAAGGCGACGGTGACCACGATCAGCACGGCCTAGGGAGCAAACGGGAGGCGCGTTAATACCCAGCCGCCCGGCCAGAAAGCGAATGAGCCCACGCAAGGCGGGGGAGGACATTGGCCTTCAAAATACATTTCCTTTGTTCTTGCCAAATGAGTGCACTGTGCAAAAATGTAGAAAACAGGCAAGCCAAAAAAAAAAAAAACAAGAAAAGGCAGAAAATCACCCCAAATTCCAATACCCAGAGGTTCACAGTTTGGGGTATTCTTGTAGGTTTTTCTTCACAGACACACTTTAAAAGAGTATCCTAAACGACAGACATAAGTGCCTCATCACTCAACACATATTGAAAACACCGTCCCACGCCAGAAGGTGCAGGTCTAGATGCGAACTTCTCAGCAGAGGCAGGAAATTCCAATGTGTGGAATGAGTCTGTTTATTTTAAAAGGGTATTTGTCAGACAGAAGGAAGCAGGAATGACAGTCCTCAAAAGGTGCTTAGGAGAAGCCGGACATGAAAGGGCATTCCATTTACAGCCATGATTCTATTTACATGAAACGTGCAGAAGGGTCACATTCGTAAGACAGAAAGCAGATCGGCGGTTGCCAGGGGTGGGGGTGGACTGCTCAATGGGCCTGGGGTTGCCTTTGAGGGCCATGAATATAGACAGGAGGTGGTAGGTGCACAACACTGTGAATGTGCTAAATGCCCCTGAATTGCACACTTTAATTTTTTAGTCATGTGATTTTCACCTAATTAAATAAAATTATTTTGAAGGTGCTCAGTGGTAATCTCTGGGTAAGGGATTTGGAGCCATTGCTCTTCATACTGCATGCACAGCCAGGACGGGGCATGTCCATCCCAGGGCTCATGGGAAAGGCGGTCACTGAAACGTGGCTCCCAACAGCCCAGGACTAGAAGCCACTGGGTGTCCACCCCGAGAGCCACAGCCCAGTCAGCCAGGACGCCGTGTGGAGGGCAGAGAAGCCTGGGGATTCGCTTTGCTTTCTTTCTGCCGTGTTTTCTATTTCTTTCCTCTGTGCCAGACTCTTCTTTCCTTGCATATAAAATAAGCAGGGTGCGCACCCCAGCAGCAGTGGGGCCCCGTGGCCAGGAGGCCTGCACTCACCATGGCGATACTGACGGCATCCTCGTACTCCTGCGTGAGGACGCTCACCAAGGCAGAGGCCAGGAGCAGCAGAATCAGGGGGTTCTTAAACTGAAAAGGGAAAGCAGAGAGGCAGGGTCTTTTCTGGCCTCTCACAGTTTGGGCTGCGTCCCCGTCACCCAAGGGTTCTCTGAAACCCTACCACTGCCAGTTCAGGACACCGGCCTCCCCGGGGTCAGCCAGCACTGTCCCCGTCAGGACGCCGGCGCTGGCCCTGCCTCTGGCCGGTGGACTCCCCTGGCCTGCCACATCTCCATGGCTCCGGGTGACGACCTATCCCCTCGGTGGGAGGCCAACCCCAGTCCGGCAGGGCCACAGGACCCCTCTTGCCGCACCACACCGGCCTGCTCCTGTAACTGCCCTTGGGGCTCCTGTGAGGTCCCTCCTGAGAATCGGCCCTAAAGGATTTTTACCTCGTTGTTTTATGTATCTGCGACCTCATTTCACAGATACGTTATATAATGGCTCGTGTTACAGACAATTGAAAGGAAGCCTAAACATAAACACAGAAGAACAGGACCAGAGAGAACAGACAGTGATGGGGATCAAGGTGAGCCTCTACATTTTAAGCAAGTCCTGGTTATTTAAAATAAGGCTGCGTGGGTGGCCGGGAGCTTTCCAGGGGCCAAGGGCAAAGGGAAGTGTGAGCAGGTGTGTGATTCACGCTGCTCCGGAGAGCTGCTCCTCGGTGCCTGGAGCGATCTGCAGCCCCTCCCCCGCACCGCAGAATCGCTGGGCTCTGTGTTCTCTGAACGAGGCCAGGGCGCTTGGCGGTCAGCTCCCCAGCAGCCCCGAGTTAGCCTCAACACCTGTTTTGAAGCCTCAAGACTGAGCCACTGCAAGGCATTGTAGCTTCTTAGCCATGATTGTATCCAGTTACTTATTTTCATCCTTCTAGAATGTAACCTTCTCAAGGACACAGCCGGCGCCTGTCCTGGGGGTCCTCAGTTCTCCCAGGACCCAGAACAGGGTGTGACCACATGGGGTGGCAGGTGAGAGCTCAGGGACCTACAGAATTCCAGCCCTGCTGCATCCACCATGACCTGAGAAACCTCAGGCAGGCTGCTGACGTCCCCAGGTCCCTGCTTTCTCTTGGCTGATGTGAGGATGAAATGTGATGATGTGAGAAAGTGACCTGCCTGGTGGCTGGCACATAGCAGGTGCTGAGAAGATGGACACAGGCTGGTCACACAGGCACTTGGTATCAATATCAGTCAGAGGGAGGGACATGGCTGCCAAGCACTAGAAAACAGCCCCTCTCTCAGGGCTCCGACCCAACTCTGGCCCTCAGGAAAGCTCCCCATTGACCCTTCCTGGGAGAGGCCGTGGCAAAGGTACCTTCAAAAAGAACCACACCTCAAAGCCTACCGGGGCAGCCTACTGCAGAGCTTCCCGCCAAAACTTGAAACCTGCACCAGAGTTCCTGAGATGGGCCTTATTCACTTAGCTACATGCTTCTCCCAAGGGTGGTGTCTTCAGTGCATAAATAAACCATTTGCCAATTTTGCAGACTTTGTAAACTATTCTAGGGGCATGAATTCACATATGAGAAAAAGGGCTTACTTACACGGATACCAGTTTAAGGGACACATAACCCCAAAGCAAAGGGTGGGCTTGTTCAGACCCTGATTTGAACAAATCAACTCTAAATAGAGTCCTTGAGGCATGTGGGAAAACTGGACCTGAGTTGGGCACCAGGGTAATTGTGTGGTTGTTATGGTTTAAAAATAAGACAAGAAGAAAAATGTCCTCTCACGGCAGAGATGCACACCAAAGTATACGGTACTATGATTTAGTGTTTAGACTTAAAGAAGCTTCAGAGAAAAAGCAGGGGCAGCGTTCAAATGTGTCAAAATGGGTTGATAATTATCGAAGCTGACAATGGATATGCAGGGGGCAATATATTATTTTCTTGTGTGTAATTATGCAATTTTCCCTAGTAAGAGATTTAAAAAAGGTTTTGGCCAGAGGAGTCCCAATTGTTCTGAGAGCATCTGGAAGTACTGGAGCAGGTGGGGGTAGGGCAGGGGCTGCCCAGTGTTCTGGGGCTGGACACAGAGCTGCCTGGCAGAGCTCACAGCCAAGGCCAGACACTCACCACCTGGAGGCAGACACACCCTTTGGGAAACATGGAGGGTGAAGAGCCGAAGCAAAGGGAAACAGGCTGGGGGAGCCCAGCTGGGAGCGTGCGATCATTCCAGGGCTGCCGGAATGAACAACCAAGCTGGGGGGCTTAAAGCAGCACGGACTCCTCCCCTCACAGAGCCAGGGCCAGAGTCCAAAGTCAAGGCGCCCACAGGGGGCTGGGCCCCCACCGGGTCCGGCCTGCCTCTTCCAGCTTCTGGCGCTCACCCGCCATCCCTGGCATTCCCCGACAGGTGGATGCATCGTGCCAGCCTCTCCCCTGCTGTCAGATGGCCTCTTCCTCTGTGTGGGCCTCTGAGTCTCTGCCCCTCCTCGTATAAGGACACCAGTCATTGCATCCAGGGCCACCCTAATCCACTACGACCTCATCTTAATCACACCTAAGACCCCACTTCCAAATGAGATCATACCCTGAGGCTCCACGTGGACGTGAATTTTGGGGACATTATTCAGCCTAGTCCTGAAAGGAAAACCCCTCCGTCCAGTGGAGTTAAGAATAAGATTTTATATCTTCCCTGAGCCCAGCACTGACTCCCCACTCCCCATGCGCTTGGATAGAAGTGAGGAGGGGGGAGAGATGTACGAACACGTGCAAACACCCAGAACGCGCCAGACACTGGGCGCCTTAATGCTCCAGGCCACGTTCTGAGGCCACCCTCCTCGCGTGCACCAGGCCTCTCCTGCCTCAGGACCTTTGCGCTTGTTGTTCCTGCACCAATCCTCACTCCACTCAGGTCTCTGCTCAGACATCGCCTCCTCCAGAAGCCGGCTGAGTGCCTCCCCTGACCAGCCAGGCCCAGACAGCTGCCCTGCCATCCCTCCCTGCCTCCCCATCCTGACTCGTTTTCCCCACTCACTCGCTGTGTCACAGGTGGAGCTCTGTGTCTGTGCCCCAAAGGCAGGAATTTGGTTTGGCCATTGCTCAATGCATAGTGCCAAGACCAGGAGCATAAAAGGCATTTATCCAAAATGAATGAATGAATGAACAAATGAAGCAGCGAGTGCCCATTTCAAGGTGGGGACATCCAAGGCTTGGTGGGGCTGGAACTCCTACACAAGGTCACGCGGCAGAGCAGACATCAGCAGCAGGTCTGCCCTGCCCCAGGCGTGGGGCGTCCTGCCCAGGCCTCTTCCGTGATGCTGCCTGGCTCCCTCCCCTCCCCTGTCATAGGCCTGGCCGGGCAGCGCCCTCCCTCCCTGCAGCCGCACACACCTAGGGCCCTGGGAGCAGTGGCCCTGTTAAGGGGCCCCTCCAGCCAGGGGCTCAGGTCGGCTCAGGGGAATGTATGGAAAATTGAGGCTCAAAGGTCAATAACTTGCACAAAGTCACAAGTTTGGGAAGCCGAATTTGAGTCCTGGCAGCCTGATGTTAATTGACTTTTGCGTCGTGATTCAGGGGCAACACGTCTCGGGTAATGCTGAGGTACATGTCCTAACAGTGATCCTCCTGAGACAGAGAGGGGGCCGGCTCCTTGTCACCGCAGGAGACACGAATCACAACAGAACCACACCAGCTGGCACATGGCAGCTACCCAACAAACATAAAGAATTCGCAAGTGTGCACAGACTTGATGATTATCGAAGCTGACAATGAATATGTGGGGATCAATATATTATTTTTTTTATGTATAATTTTGCAATTTTCCCTAGTAAGAGTTTTAAAAAAGGTTTTGGCCATTTTCTGGACCCATCAAGGATGGAGAAACATGGCCACCGGGAGCTGCCTTCCCATGCTGCAAGGATTCCCTCAGCAGGATTCCTGAACCAACCAGCTAAGGCGACTAAGCAAGTACCCTGACCTTAGAAATGTCAATTTCACTTTTGGAAAGGCCCGGCTGGCGTCTGCAGCAGAGCCCTTGGTGCGGGGTTTGAATAAGGCAGGGGCAGGAAGGAAGCCTGCAGGGAACCTGGGTGGCAAGTCCCAGTGGAAACAGCAGCCAGGACAGAAGAGGCTGAGGCCCAGCTGCAGAGAGAGACTGGCTTCGGAAGACTGTGTGTCAGCCTCCTTCCCCGAACTCGAGCTTCCAGGAACTTCCACCACCTCCTTCTGCACAGGGATTCCAGGAAGCTTCTGGCCTGACCAGAGCCACCTTTGCCAGAAGCCAATTTTAGTGCCAAAATGCGTCAATGAATGACATCTGTAGTGCCCTGAGACCCCACCTCTGAGCAGGTGGGGACAGGAGGGTGCTGGAGGCTGTGGATGCTACAAAGAGGGCTGCGATTGGTCCCTGAACTGAACAATCAGGAAGATTTAAGTGCTGAGCCAACAGGAAAGTGTCTAAAGCCTTGGGCAGGCTTGGAACCAAAAAACAGGAGGACTTGTCAGGATGGGAGAGGGGAAACTGAGGCAGTCTGAATGCCTCCAAGCCCCTGGGACAGTTCTGCCGGTTAACTGGGGATTTCTGAAACCTGTACTGGGTGTGTGGTGGGGGTGCTGACCCTGTGCTGGAACCTGCAGCCGTGCCTAATTCAGGTTTTTCTTTCCTCTTCTCAGTGGCTTCCAGGTCTGACTCTTGGCCATCCATTCAGCACCATCCCAGTGCCACAGGCATCACCTGGCTCCACGTGCCAGCACTGCCCATCTGAGTGACTTTGGCTACTGTTGCCAGATAAACTACTGGACTCCTAGTGACATTTGAATTTCAGATAAACAAGGAACATTCTTTTTAGAATAAGTAGGTCCTATGCAACATTTGGGACATACTTATACTAAGAAATGGTTCTTCATCTATCTGAACATCTTGAACTTCATCTACCTTAAGTTCAAATTTGAAGGGCACTTTGTATCTTCATTTGCTAAATCTGGCAACCCTACGCATGTGGGGAAATAGTCCATCTTCTCCGTACCTCAACTTCCTCCTCTCAAAATGGACATGAGGAGGACGATTAAGTAAATTAATGCTCACTTATTTGCTTACTCAGCATGTTGCCCTGCATGTGGAAAATCCACATGCATGCAACAATGATTATTCATGACCACGGCTGCCTGGGGGGTTAGGAATGACTCCTGGCCATCCGTCCTGCTGGCTAAGAGCAGCCTAAATGAGGGGGCCCTTTATCTTTGCAGTACAGCCACTCCACACCCCAGGACTGGTCCAAGGACACCTTAGATCAATATTTAAAGAAGGAATGGCTGCCCCTCCCTCTCTGGCTTACCGTAGTTAATGCAAGGAATGACACCTACAATCCTACCTGATCGAGATATTTCTTCCACACGGGTTCAGTGTTGTCAGCGACAAACTCATTCCAGCCATGGACCAGTCTGCGCTGTGTCACTGAGAACTCGGACAGGCCAGTCTGTAAGTCCACCTGGAGGGAGATGGCCAAGTACAGGCTCAGCAATGGGCCAGTGAGGACCGGGGAGCCCAGCTCGCAGAATTCCCACTCCAGAAGCCAGCCACGTCAGGATGCACGAGGAAAATAAACCGTCCACAAGGAGAGGGGCTCGTTCAAAGGCCCCGAGCAAAGAGGGGCAGAGAGAGAAGGAAAACCCACAGCCTAGCCCTCTCTCTCAATTAGAGCACTCTTCTCTAGAGCCTTAATCTCAACAAGTGGAATTGCCATAGGGAATTCCAGAAATGCAGAAACACACACATCTATTCTTTAAAAGTACCGGCCTAGGGAATATGAAATGGTGCAGCCGCTGTAGAAAACACACGGAGGTTCCTCAAAAAATTCAAAACAGAAGTACCACAGGACCAAGCAGTTCCATTTCCGGGGACACCCCTGAAAAGAAGTGGAGAAGGGGGATCCGGGCAGCCCGGTTCACAGCAGCATTCTGCTCAACAGCCAGAAGGGAAGCAGCCCCGTGTCCACCAGCCGGGGAAAAAGCCAGTCACAGAAAGACAAACGCTGGCTTGGTGGGGACTCCACCTACATGCGGGACCCAGAGCGGCCAGAATCCTAGAAGTGAACAGCAGAAGGGTGGCTGCGGGGGGCTGGGGACCGGGGCTGGGGAGTTAGGGCTTAACGGGGACAGAGCGTCAGTTCTGCAGGACGAAGGGTTCTGGGGATGGATGGCGGTGGTAGCTGCGCGACGACGTGAATACTCAGCTCTGAGGAATGAACGGCACACTTCAAAATGATGAAGATGATACATTTCATATTGTGCATTTTAGCACAATTAAAAATTTAAAAAAAACACAGGACAAACACCTGTCTCTAGAAGCAGCAGTAGCGAAAATTATGATTCCATACATACACTGTGTCAGATAACAATTTCAAGCTCTTTACGCAGACACTAAGTATAGCCAGTTTGCGTCAACAATTAGGTAAGGGAACTTGGTTTTTCTGGTTGCAGCAAAGACATCCTTGTTTTCAAAAAGGTCAGTGTGTGGCGGAGGCGACGGGGAAAGCTGAATTGACTTCTAGGCTCTCTTGAATAGAGAAAGAAAACCATGGGCATTTTGTAGGTAGGGGAAAATGTCAGGCAAAGAAAAAATATTTCCTTCCCTCCAAATACCCCCAGCAGTACTTGAATTTAAACAGACTTTCGAATGATTCCCAAGAAAAGACTGGCAGGAAATGCTGACTTCCACCCTCCTCGAATTGTGGCCGGTGCCCTTTAATGGGTGGGTTGAATTTGCTCTCCCAGGTGCGGTGGGTTATGAGTGAACGGACACACTTCTGTTGTGTTTTCTCGGTTTTCTAAGAAAGTAAAAAACATGAAGCAAGCCGCGTCCTTCAGCCTGAGGAGCGCGTGGCGGACAGAGCGGGGACCTTGGTTCCAGAGCCGCCTCAGACTGGCCAGGAACTCAAATTCATCTGGGAAACCTGTGGGAATTCAGTTCCAGCGGTAGGCGATGGCGTGGATTATGGAAGAAGAAGGGTGTGAACTGGGGCTGGTTAAAGGTTTGAGCTTTGATGTCGAAACACCTGGATTGAACTCGCTGTGCCCTGTCCTTGGGCTGAGCTCCCTTGTAACTGTGTGGGTTCCTGTGTTCTGTGTCTCCGGGAGGAAAAGCCTTGTAACAGAGAGCATTTGGGGGCCTGGGGAATGTCCTCTGTTAGGGCCCCAGCCCCTATGACAGTGGCGACATACCACCTGGGAAATCGGCGTGGTTCAACATCAATCACATTTTCTAATGATGATGATATAAATGTTTGAGAGCCCAGGATCTAAGGCTGTTTTCAGGACTTTGGGTTGCTTTCTTTTAAATCTAAAAACCTCACAGCAACTAACATCAAATGCAAAGTCAATTCTTACGTAAAACGCCTCGGCCAAATCCTCCCTGTGGTATTTGCTGGCTTCCTTGGGTGGCAGCGCTACCACTGTTTTCTCCTTTTCAGTGGCTTTCAGGTCCCCTTGTTCACCGCCCTGTGAAAAAAGCCAGAATGCTATTAAGCAAATGAAAGTTTTGTGCTGGCACATCTTTTTAAAGTATAACCTACATACAGAAAGTGCACATCTTAAGTGTACAGCTTGAATTCTCACAAACTGACCCCCATAAACAGCCTTCAAAACAGGAGACAGACATTACCAGCCCCAAAGCAACCTCATGCTACCCGCCCACCTAAAGAGCAGCTCCGATCATTCTGTCACTGCAGGTTAGTTTTGCCAGGGTTTGAATTCTGTATAAATGGTAACATGCAATACATACTCTTGTGTCTGGTTTCTTTCACTTAATGTTGTTAGTGAGATTCATGCTTGACGTTGAGCGTAGCCGTGGTTTGCCCATTTTATTGGCTGTATAATATTCCCTGGAATGAGTATATCATGATTTATCCATTCTGCTGTTCATGAACAGTTGGGTTGTTCCCAGTTATTGGATATTATGGATACATCTTTTGTTTAAGCAAACTTATTTAACAGAATTGGAATGCACAAAGCTGACAGAGCAGGACAACAATTTGCCACGAATAAAAATAAAAAAAATAGAAAAAAGGCCTGTCCTTAGAAATGATAATAGCTAAAATCATTATATCATACATACATTGTGCCAGATACAATTTCAAGCTCTTTTCACAACTAACATTACATTTGGACTCCTGAACCTTGATTTCTGGGATTCTGAGTCAAGTATGAGCTATTTTATAGAAAGATCATTCCCTGAGGACAACAGGCGCTATTCCAGTCTGTTCTAGGAGTCGTTGTCAATGGCCCAAGTAAAAGGGGGGCCAGCTGAGTTCTTGGGGTCTGGCAGGCCTGGGAAGGAGCCATACAATACACCCCTGAAGGGCATGGGAGGACATATACAACAGACACCTCAGAATCAGGACAATGCTGAGTATCTTTGCAAAATCATTCCTGGTACTCTGATACCCAGGACATGATAATCATCGCTTCCTCTTCTGGCAGGTTGTCGGGTGCTGGGAAGAAGGAAGGAGAGAGGGGCTTCGGCTAACCCCTTCCTTCAGCTGGAATGGAGAAGGCAAACCCCTCTTTCCCTTCTTGCCAGCCGCCCCACTCCCCCAAGCACACGCACACACATCATCTCCCAAAGGCCTCGTTGCTCAGAAATGCTCTGCGAACCTCAGCCATTTCCTGGGTGGCTTCTTACTTGGTTGGGCCAGAGACCAGGAAGCAGCTACATGGATCTCAAAGGCTGCTCCATCTGTGATGAGCTTCCTTTAAGTCAACGTTTAAGAGAAATGGGCAACATAAAATAAGACAGTATTTTTTCTGTTCTCAAGATCTGGTTTGGTCACGTCAAATCAAGTGCTCAATTCTTGCTCACACCAAGGATGGAGTCAGGCCTGGGGTTTGAGGACCTGTGCGCTGGCTGTTCTTGGGCTTGCCATGTCTTTCCAGCCATGACCACACCCAATTAATTTCTTATACAGCATCCTGAGTGACGCTGAAAAGTGTTAATCTACTTCTCTCCCTCGCACACACACATGCACACCACGCTTGAAACATTTGGGTAAACTCAGTTGCTCTCAGGCTAAAAACCTGTCTTCAATGTGGCTGCAGCAGACCCCACCACGTGTCCGTCCCCCATTCCTGGCCTTGCTCACGGCAGCATGCCTGGCCAAAAATTTGCTTCCTAGGCCCATGGACACAACACCACCCCTTGGAGGAGTCCTGTCCCTGGGGAACGGGCCTCTCTAGTGGCCCTGCAGGACCCCCAGTGGCACATTTTCATGGCTGCCACAACATACTTTGAATCAGGGGCTCTCAGTCAGGGTCAGCTGTGCTCCCAGGAGGCTTTGGCAACGTCTGGAGGTTTGTTAGGTTGTCCTAAATGGAGGTATCTTGTGGGGTGGAGTCCAGACATGCTGCTGAGCATCCTACAGTGCTCTGGCCAGCCCCCCACAAAGAATGCTCTGGTCCAAAACATCAACAGACCTGAGAGTGGGAAACCCCGTTTTAAAGATAGGTGGATTATCCCATCTTGCTGTCTTCCCAGATTAGTCCACCTGCCCTACCCTCTTGGCATCCTGGACCACTCCTTGATGCACCTGGTGCTGGCACAATTGCCAGCAGTGACTATCACTTAAGTGCCTTTATCCACTCACAGTGTAGCTGCTCTGGAAGGTGGGGACCAGCGCCTGGTACACTGGGGCTGCTCCACCAGCACCCGTCAGTCAGAGCTCCATAAGCATTTGTCAAACAGAACTCAGGACACCAATCAAAGTGCACGAAATGCACTCAGCTCCATGGATGGACGGCTGGGTACACACCGTCAGCCACAAGCCTCAGTTTGCCCTCTTTGTCAGTGCCGCCCAGGAGACAGCCCCTCTCCACTTTCCAGCATGTCAGCCTCTCTGATCACACTTCCTCATCTGCAGAATGAGGACAGTGAGGCCTGCTTCGTCCTGCCTTTACAGAGCCAAGCAAGCACACGTGTGCGGAGGGCCTGACCCACCTCCTTCCTAGGTGTATACACCGGAGATGTAGACACCCACTCCGCATCTGCCGCGGTCAGCTTGGGGAGGAGCCATCTGTGCTGGCCACCTCCACATCCTTCCCTCCCATCACTTCTCAACTCACTTTGGCCCGGCCTCCCAGGTCCCCCCTGTGCTCCACGGTTGCTGGGACACGGCCAGGACCCAAAACATCATCAGGGGAGCTCACTCTGTCTCACAGCAAGGTTGTCATTTTCAGAAGACAGAGCCCCGAGCATGCCGCCCTGTCCCCTTGTCCTGTGGGTGACTTCTGCCCGGAGGCTCACACGTAGCCTTCTCACCCCCTGAGAACACACACCGTGTAGGCGTCTGCCCAGCTTGCATCCCAGTATGTCCCATTGTAAGGAGGCAGGCACATCCTGATTGAGGTCAGGTGCCTTTGGGACACCCCGATTCTCACTTCTTGTCAAACTTGATTTGGGGGGAGCCACCCCTCCCTTCTCCTTTGTGTCTCCTCTGTTTTTAAGTTCTCTTTTATTATGGTGAAATTCACGTAACATAAAATCAACCATGCTAAAGTGACGATTCAGTGGCATTTAGAGCATACCTATCTGGCCCTTTCCAGGCCCCCCAAAAGGAGACCCTGCACCCCTTAGCAGTCACTTCCATCCCTGTCTCCTAGCTCCTGGCAGCTACCAATTTGCTTTCTAACTTTACAGATTTACCTATGTGCATATTTCATAGAAATAGAAACATAAAATATGTGACCTTTTGTGTCTGCTTTTTGCCCTCCCTCCCAGTACTGGTTGCTCACAGCAAATGGGCCTGCACGTGCCAGGGCTGTGATGGCAGGTGGGCCTTTCCTAAGCCCAAAGAAAATCTGGATGGTGGGGACTCCTTAGACTATTCTCACCCAGCAGGGACAGCGGGGCTGGCATTGAAGCAAGTGGGGGCTTCTGAAGGAGCCACAAAGCGCAGCTGTGACATTCCCTGCAGGATGAGGTGGCTGCGGAGGGGAGCTGTAAGCTCGGAGCAGAGCAAGCGAGCACGTGGCACCTGGGGGTGAACTGGCCTCCCCGGGGCCAGCACCCTGACTTTCTCTGCCTTCCTGTCCAGCTCGGGGGTCTCAGTTCACTTTAAACACTTCCTGAGATAGACCCTAGCATTGCTTCCCTCTCTAAAGGACTGATACAGACATATATTTCTTCAACGTGCTTGTCCGTAAGTCCCCCCGGGCCTTGCCTTCCCCTCCCGGAGCCGAGGGCAGTGCCTGATGCCACGAGCAGTGGGAGCCAGGGAAGGGGGCAGCTGGGGCCCTCCTCTGGCATATGAGGCCACGGGGCTGGGTGGGGGGGACTGGGAGCCTCCAAATGGGGCTGCGAGCTTGGCAAATGCAAATGCAGGAGGTCCAGTTGCCTCTGAACCCCCAATAAACAAGCCATTTTTCAGCATATGTGTTTACCGAATCCTGCATGGGACATACATATACTAAAAAATTTTATCTGATTCAAATCAACTGGGTGTCTGGGCAAATCTGGCAATGTGAGGAAGGAACTAGCCGAGAGGCACCCGTGACCCGCGGCTCAATGGGGACACGCCCCTGAAGGAGCCAGAGTGGGGGGACCCGGAGTCGTGGGAAGATCCCTGGGCGGTGGAGGGGGGCCACAGGGGAACAGGTGCAGCGGTGCCAGGAAGGGCGAATGGCCTGTCCGGGGAACTCAGGGGGTGGAGGCGGCAGTAGTGAGCGGCCTTGGAGGGTTTCAGAGCGAGCAATGGGGCGGGAGAGAGAGCCCAGTCCTGACCCCCGGGGTTTTCACAGCCCTGGTGGATTTGGTTCCTGGGATCAGTGCAGCCGGAGAGGAGCGGTGTTGGGGTCACGGTAACCCAGGCACCAATCGGTGGGCGTCTCTAAGGAGGGGACATTTGAGATGAGGAAAACGAGCCCCATTCAATGCAAATGGTTCCTTTCTTCCAAGACTTCCGTAACTGTCTCCCCCAAGGCATGTGTCTGTGCATTACCTGGTTACACCCTTGCCTGGTGAGACTGCGTGTGGTCCTCAGGCCAGCAGCACCCTGGCTCTAATAGGTCAGAAGCCCTGGGCATGGACCCTGCGATGGGTGTTCCCCAGGGGATTAGACGTGCTCCAAAGGTGGAGAACCACTGGGATCTCGTACAAATGCACCTGCCAGGCTTATCCCCAGGCTGCAGAGGGAGGCCCAGCCATCAGGCTGCCTAAGGGCCCCGGGTGGTTCTAATACCCTGCAGGGTTGAGCTGAGGCTGGCTGGCTGGAGGTGCACTCAGAACAATCCTATGGGGTCCAGTTCTTCAGAGGCCATCATCCTGCAGAAAATAGGCCGTGGCCAATGGGCCAAGCACTATGCTGTGCGGCGGCGGGGTGGGGGACTGGGGTGCTGCGCCAGGATTGCTGCGAGCTGTAGGAGTCCAAGTCCTTCTGCTTCCTGGAGGAGGGGTGGGGCTGAGACCTGGGCCAGCAGGTGCCCAAGTCCTTCTAGAAGTTGGGCAGTGG